GGATCCATAATCCACAAAAACACTCTGTCCGTCACTCCGCGACTCAGACGCTTTTGCCCTGTACTCTAACTCAATAAATAGCTTTTAAGTATGGAAAAAGGTATTCTCTCCCGTGATGAAGAAGGACACTCACTCAGCTATTCCGGCCCATCAACGTGTTGTCCGCTCCAAACTCACTTCATCAGAGCTGCTTCCTAAACAGTGCAGCTGTTGTTGTGGTCCCGTGTTTTCCCCTGGTCCATCAAATTAATGCACGTTGCTTCCTATGTTTTCACTCCACACATCATATTAATGGTGTCTCACATGAGAACACAGGGTCTACACACATGCTTTTAGCATGAATAGACACACACAGGTACATGACATGTACATATATCTGTGCTGAGTGACAGGTGTCGGGTTTCAGCTCTGGCTCACGTTCATTGATCAAACTCTTACCGGTGTCCTGACACTAAGTGATACACTAAGTGTGATTGATGGGCGGATTATGCACACAGCAACAGAATGAACTGAAATGTTGTTTTGACTTTTATGATGTGGTAAGCATGCTTCCTTAATAGCAACTTAGCTCAGCTGGCCCGAATCCATGCCGTTTACTTCCAGCTTCATGTGTCTAAAATCAGCTCATGAACTTTGCCCCATCTCAAATGAAGCAGAATTCTTTATTTAACATAAACAATGAAGCCAGATTTGGGTTAAATGTTTATGGAAATATATGTAAGAGAGAGCGGTACACTATTACCCTGTGAAATGTAGTGGAGTAGAAGTATAAAGTAGCATAAAATGTAAATAGAAAAGTACACTACCTCAAAATTTTACTTATGTTGAGTTAATATCATTTCACCATGGAAAAAACCCAACTAAGATCAAAATGAAAACTTTCTGAATAGCAACAATTGAGAGCGTCGTCTTTACATAACAAACCAGCTGAGTTGGTGAACGTGACGCTGTGTTCACGTTGTGTCACTCAGACCTCATTGGAAAACACGTATAAGTCATATAAGTATAAGTTGTGTTACAGCAACATCGCTGACAGTTAAATGTAAACCTAATATTCATACAGGCAAGGCTAATTTATTTATATAGGACAAAAAAAGACAAAAGTCTAAAAAACACAGTATAATAGTACATTCAAATGCAATTACAACAGTCATTACAGAGCCAAGAGAATAGAAAATAAAAACAAGCTGAATAAGACTAAGAAGAATAAAACAGTGCAGTGTAAGAAATGATTTAATACAAGGCAGCAGCGAACAGAGAAGTCTTCAGCCTTGATTTAAAAGAAGTGAGATCTGCAGCTGACGAGCAGTTTTTGGGGTATTTGTTCCAGATAATACAGGCAATACAGCTATTTTAGAAGGAGCTACATATAATACACAGTATGTTTTGGAGTATGTGTGAACACCGTTTCCGCTGCAGCATGAGGATGCTCTGTATGTGTTTACTGATTTCAGATCAACTCTGAGTATTGAAGTGAAATTGTTTACCTGACAGTAACCTTTTCCTGACATTTGGAGCTGCCAAAGCATCCACATTTTTTTTAATTTATCTGTTGAATTTGTATTTTTTTGGGGGGGAAAATAGTGCTGACGTATCGTTTTCACTTCTGTCTTCTAGGTCCTACCTGGACATGCTGAAGGTCATCATGTTTAGCTACCTGTTCTGGTTCGTCCTCACCATCATCTTCTTCACGGGGACCACGCGGATCAGCGTCTTCTGTATGGGCTACCTGGTGGCCTGCTTCTACTTCCTGCTCTTTGGTGGTGAGCTGTTGCTCAAACCAATCAAAAAGATCCTCCACTACTGGGACTTCCTGATTGCCTACAACATCTTTGTAATCACCATGAAGAATGTTTTGTCTGTGAGTAGTCAATCTCAAATTGTATATCAAGATCAGTGAGAAAAAAATCCTTCATAAAGTACATATGAGTCGATATAATGTTTAGATTTTAAAAGCTCTGTCTGCCTGAATGTAAAAGAGCAACATATTTATTGTAAACTTCTTTGTTCTCAATATTTTGGTTCGTACCAACACTGCCTCTGTGTTATGTGAAATCAAAGATCTTGACAAAGAAATGTAAAGATATAATATTTAAAATAAGTCATTGTATTCAAGTATATGATAAATTATTCTTGTTCTTAGATCCTGGCTTGTGGCTACATCAACTCTCTGATTGAGAACCAGTGCCCATTGATCCATTTGTTAAGTCTGCGCTGTACCATCAACGACTACTTCTTTGACAAAGAAAAAGCAAGAGAGAGTGAGTGGACTCAACATTTTTACTTCTTTCTGCATCTCATGAATGCCAATAACTTTCACAAGAAGGTAGGAGGAGCACAAATCCTCATTTTGGCTCCAACTACGGGTCATGGTGAGTTGCTGCTTCAGATTGTGTGTCCAAGAGTGTTTGCTAAGAAGATGAAATTCAACCCACTCTCTTGTTTGTTTCTCAGGCATATCTTTCAGGGCCAATTTAGTTCAGTGCAGTATTTGTGTTAATCTTACTGACTTTACAGTGAATACCAAACTCTGCCACGATACTCAGTGAAACAGTAAGATTTATGCATTTACTTTTTTCTTCTTTTTTTGGATCTGTGAATTTTTTTTTGTTGTCAGGATTGTTTTGACAAGGGTTCGTTGTTATAGTTCTCATTTCAGCCACAAGAGGCTGAGGTGCACCACTACCCCATGTTCTTAATAGGACTAAAAGCAAAGCCAAAAGAAAGACATGACAGTAATGTTACATAACTTGCTAACACACAATATTATGTACCTTGTGTTTAAAGTGCATGGAGAAATTTAAACTCACCTGGAAGTAAACATGATTGCTTTTAGTGCTATTTACAACATGAGCTAGTGGTGCACTTCAGCCTCTTGTGGCCAAAATGAGGTTTAAAATAACAAACAATTAATGAAATGATCCTGACAAAACAAAATTACCTTCCAAAACTGACAGATGAAAAGAAAAAGTAAGTTCCTGGCCAAATTTATTTTTTCCCCACCTGTTTCACAGATGATGTTTTTGAGGAACTCAAACTTTTTTTCACATGTTCTAAGTAATTTACACCAGATAAAACACAAGTTAGATGAGACTTAAAAAGAAATGGATCACCAAAATTGTTTTATTCTCACCTGCATCTCCGGACTTCCGTAGAAAACAGTCTACATTAACGTTTTTGATAATTAACCCTCATAAATGTCCTCACTTTCACCAATCATTAGAGAACTGTGATCGGCCCGAAAACGAGGCCGGGATCATCTGGGACAGTATCTGCTTTGCCTTCCTGCTGCTGCAGAGACGAGTCTTCATGAGCTACTACTTCCTCCACGTGGTGGCTGATATCAGAGCGTCGCAGATCCTCGCGTGCAGGTACGCAGATTGTGCTGAGCCGGCCTGCTGCATAGAGGCGCTGTGGCTTTTACTGCCATGACATGTTAAAAAGTCTGCTGTGAAAAAGGTCTACGAATCTGATTTATTTGATAAAGACACAAGAGCGCTCAGATGCTACAAGGCCTAAGGTTTGCAAGAATTATTGAGTAAGCAAACAACATGTAACGAACAAGATGGACAGGCTCTAGACAGGGAAGAAAAGACAAAAACTGGTGATGTGTATTAAGAAAACACGTCTGCCAAATCCAAAATATGCTCTAGAGTTCTATGTCAGTATAATTGGAAAGATATGCGTATTTGTAAAAACAGCAACAGAAACTACAGTGATTACAAACATGTGTGAGAGAAAATGTGCAGTTCATTACAGAGGTCTTTCAGTCAAATTCAACTTTGCTCCTTTTGTAACTGATTTGCTCAATATAGTGACATTATAATTGGATAATTATGGAATCATTGAACCCATTGAAGGGTTGTGTGACATTGTTTCAGCTTCCAAAGAAAGGGAATATACTTTTGGTCAGTAAATAGTAAAGCAGGATCAAGGACCTTCACACTCTGACTCTGATTGTTTTTGGAACATTTGATTGTGTTTCAGAGGGGCGGAGCTTTTCCAGGCCACGATAGTGAAGGCGGTGAGAGCGAGACTGGAGGAAGAGCGCAAATCTGTGGAGCAGCTGAAGAGACAGTGAGACTCCAACTGTTTGACTTACTCCATGTGGTGTAGTGCTGTGGTTTGGTGTTGAGGTGCACTATATGCAATACTAGGGGAAGTTTTGAAATAGCAATATAGCAATATACCAGTACTCACGATAACAGTCAAAAACAAATGATATCATGTTAATAACACACATAATGATATAAATATAATTTTGTGTGAATAATCCATCCTCAAATCACACTTTTGTACAGTTATGGTTACATGCTCTCTCCACCTCCCTACACTCGTATTTTGGGTGTAACTCATTTGCCAAAAAAGACACAAAACACACAATAAACAAAGTAAAAGATTAATTTCACTAATAACATGATTTTTTTTTTTTTTTTCAAATTTTCTATAGATATAGCAATAATATCGTTATTACGATTTATTTTTGCCCAACTAGTCATGTAGTGAAAATCTGATATTGTGACAGTGATCGGTTGCTTTTCTTCTATCTGAAGGATGCGGCTGGCATTATTCTGTAGCCGTCATTTTGTCAACAAATCCCTTGAAAAGACCAAAACCAACAATGTATAAGTCTCTCTCTCAGTGCTTTGAGTCTGTCTGTGTCACTCAGTCCCAAGCCCATCCATTTCTACTGGAAATGTAAATCTTAAAGACATAAAGATTAGAATGGTTGGAGTTTGTCAACACAACATTCAAAGTTGGCCCATCCTTCTCCGCTCAACCATGATCAGGGGGACTTGCCTGGGAAAACCAACTCCAGATTCGTGCTTGTTTTGTAACGAACTTGGCGTTTTGCCTGGCTATTTTTATGGGTGGTTTTTGTGCTGTGTCTGCCATTTTTGTAGCTTCCTCTTGGATGTGTGATTATGATTTGGCACCCGGTCGCTACGTTTTTATTGAGGTTGACACCCAGTTTGACAGCCTTTAAAAAACAAAAAACGTTCACACATAATTTCATTCTTTAAAAAGGCTTGGTAATTTCCAAAACAGCTGGACACTGTAGTTCATAGCAAATGTTAGTCAAACTGTTGTAAATAGTTCATTTATTGGGGGACTATTTTCCGCAGCCGATTAATACACATTTGGTGCTCTACAGTGTGCCTCTTCATTCTAATTACGAAGTGATTATGTCACCCAGTGCAACAGTGTTGTTCTTTGATGTGTTTTTAATCATTTTTGTACAATAATGGAGCTCTATGGCACAGCTCAATAAGATATATTAGACTTCTGCCGCACAGGCAATACTAGTAAATATAATTGTTTTTTTGTCTTTTCATGGAATTTCTTGACGATAGAATATAATTACTAAAACATCAAGCACTGTTATGTCTATATCATGTCTTTCAATATCTTTGATTTAGTCCATGAGTAAACATGATGAAGAAAGCCATTTCAAATCTATTCTGTCTTAAAAGCAACTCCTGTCTTGGTCTTTACTGTTTCCAGAAAGCCATAGCTCAGTATATCATACTACAGAGAGTCGCGAAGTATTCCCACCACTTACAGTTATGTCAGGAGTTACTCATAAGCTCTGATAATATCCACTCACCCGCTCTAATGAGCACTCCACTGTTTCATAACGTACACTAATTTGTATATGAGGCCTGGAGATGTTTATGGTCAGTCTGTTAGGCCGTCAGTGATGTTCCTCTGTGTCGATACTTCGTGTCTCTTCACTGCCTCTCTGATCTAATCAGGATGGAGCGCATTAAGGTGAGGCAGCAAAAGTTTAAGAGGGGCAAGGAGAGGATGCTGAGCATTGCACAGGAGTCTGGAGAAGGACAGACCCTCGTCCAGCCCGAGGAGGATGATGATGACGGTATGACGACGGCTGACTCTGTCTGCGCAGTCAATGTTAGAAAAGTTGGTGTTGAGGTTAAATGTTTGCTAGTAGTGCACAAGGTAGATGGGTGAGAGTGCATCAATACCTTAATGCCATCCTAATTCATTAACTTATGTTGTATAATAATGTATTTACATTCGTATTTGATCTTAAAAAAAGCAGCTTAATAGAGAAAAAAAAAATGCCTTGAAGTTTGCAGAAGAATTAATTTTCTTATGAAATGTTGCATTGATGTATTTGTGAAATTTTAGGAGCACAGCGAACGAAAGCCAAGACCAAAAAAAAGCAGTGGTGGAGGCCGTGGGTTGACCATGCTTCCAGTAGGTTGACCCCCCCAAACCCTCTTTTTTCTCTTCCTCCACTCTGATTGGCCCTTGTGTCCTTGACCAGAACGCTGAGGATTCCCATACTGCCCCTGGGCTCTGAAGGCACCAACACACAGTAGTCTTGCTCCATTCAGACTTTAGTCCTTTTCTGTCTCTATTTAAGGGCCCTTGTTACCACCTGCAGCTCTCGTGTACACTATGTGTGGAGAGGCTCTTCAGTTTCAAGATGATCTATTAAACCGTGTCGGTATCGGTCCAGAGCAGGGTTGCCCTAAATAGACACAATGAGACTTTTGCAAGAGAAAATTACTAATGTCTGGAGGTTTGTACTTGACATTGTTTAAAACATAATCCTCGGTCTCAGCTGAAGAGCCCACAGTAGAGAATCACTCTGTTATAAAACATTTTCATGCAAAGATATGAAGTCGACTCGCCTTTATTCTCAGTACTGGAATAAAGGATGAAAGGGTTTGTTCATTCTTTGCCTGTGGACATGGTCACCAAACAGGAGAAAATGAAAAGGGAACGATTGGACCAGTGATTGAATATATAAAATGACGACCTTTACTGTCTCTCTTTGAGGTAAATAAAAAAATGACCAGCATCTTTGTGAGCCAATACAGTGGTCGCCTGTTTGGTTTGAACTCATGTCCCCTGTCGTTCTACACCCCCACATGACATTTTCAAATTATTTCTCCATTTCATCTCTTTGTCATTTGATATTTCATCTTCATATCCCAGCATCCTCCCTCGCCTCCCGCCCACTGCGGTTCTGTTCAAGGACATAAGTCAGCCTTGTCTATCCCACTTAACTGCTGTAGACAGGAGTCACTTGCTCTGTCGAGTAGCTTAAAGGCGACTGTGCTTACTGGAATCATTTTTTATTAAATAGACAACCTTCATTGTGCTTTGTGCTCATAGTTCTATCTGTCATACTAATATTGTGTGTTTTCTGCATTTTCTGTTTCATCCTTACATGTCTCTGATGTTTTTTGATGTGTGTCTATATCGCGACTTACTGTAAACCCAGTTAAATGTTCAAAAGTAGTGTATTCCTTAGAATTTTACGGTAAGTGGTTTGATTTTCCTGCATCTTCCCTTCAGCAAGGGAACCCTTTCTGAACCTCATTTCAATGTTGTTAAAAAAAGATGAATGAACTTAGCATCTGTTTGACTGAATATAACTGCACTTTACCCTCTGCCCCCTCCAGTGGTTAGAAGTGGAGACTATTACTTGTTTGAAACTGACAGTGAGGATGAGGAGGAGGAGGAGGACAAAGGAGACGATGAACAGCCAAAGAAGTCGGCGTTTCAGGTGACTTCCACTAGTGGCTAATCAGTTTCAGTGTTAAACAAGATTTTAATTCTGTCTCTGTCACAGTTATTTAATCCAATTACATGTTTTATTATTGATGAGGATGTTGCATTCAGCTGAGGTAAATAATAAAGTATGTTTACTCAAGTACTTAACAGTTCGAAGTAAGGAAATATTGTACTTTTTACTCCATTGTACTTTATGTATGCAGGGAAAAAGTACTCAGATCATTTGCTTAAGTAAAAGTACCAATACAATGTAAAAATACTCCAATACAAGCAAAAGTCTGGCATACTTAAGTAAAAATACTGACGCATGCTTTAATAAATGTACCTAAAGTACAAAAGTAAAAGTTCTGCTTCTGCAGCTATTGTAACGTGTGAATGTGTCAGCAGAATTCTACAGTTGAAGCTGGTCAGAGTGGAGGTACTTTTACCTGCTTCATATACAGCTAGGTATAGTCCAGTGGTTCCCAACCTAGGGGTCGGGCCCCTCAAAAGGATCATGAAATGATTAATGGGAGAGGAAAGAAGAAAGAACTAACTTCTGATAAACAAATTTGTATTAATTTTTTGGCCTTTTTTAATCCTTGGTTTTTTTGATAATGAATGCAATATTCATTTTACTTCTTTGGGCCTCAAACGGTTATTTAAATGAAACCACGTGAGAAGGTTAGACGTCTTTGGTGAAAGACAATGCTTTCAGTCAGAAAGATCACACGCCATCTATTTATCTCTTTATGTATGTTTTATTTTATAAGCTTATGATTTTCACATTTCTTAATCTGAAAATAACTGCATCGCTCCATAAAGTGGAGTAAGAAGTACAATATTTCCCTCTGAAATGGAGTATTTATATTTTACTGTTAATTCTTTTCTTGGATACATCTTATGTATGCTGTTTACTTTGTTATATATATTTTTTTGAAGGATCCAAGATGTAAAAGTGTTTTGAATACTAACATTGAATAAATGGGATAAAACATGTACATTTACCTGCACAGTATCGAAATCCTCCTTTGTTCACTGTCTCCTAACACGGTTAACCTCTGTTATTTCTAATAATATGAAATCATTTTCTACTAATCCTCTCTCACTCTGTCTCTTTTTAGCGAGCTATTGGAAAGTTTGTCTCTGCTGTTCTGGCCTTGCCCAAGTCTATCATTAAGCTGCCTAAAACTATACTGCAGTATGTAGTCAAGGCAGGCAAGGTACTCACCACCAGAACTAATTAACACAGCTTGCTTTCTGTATGAGCATCCCTTAAAGTAACAACTAACGCCACAGCAAACGACCTTTCCAGCTCATGTTTGGTGTTCTGCTTCTGCAGTTCATCCATATCAAAAGCAAATACTAATAATGGTATAAATCATCAAACATAAACTGGAATAGAAATGCTTTGGCCTTTGCTCTTTTGCATGTTGTTTTGACTTGAAGTGGGCTGCATGAACTGGAGCATTGTTGTGACATTATATTGGTTGGGTTACGTGTGTCCTGTCTGTTTTGACCTTTTCATTTGGTCTACTGCTGTGAGCTATGCGTTTGTGAGTTGTTATGGTCTGTGAGTCAGTATCAGCAGTTAGTGTTTGGGCCTCGCCTCTGTGCTTGTGCATGTTTCCGTGCATTAGCAGAAAAAGTGTTAATTCTTGACAATGTCTGACCATAAATTCTAACAATGCAGAGTATAAAAACGTGCTTGCGATAGGCAGTAGATCACCAGGAATATTAGATAATATGTGTTTTTTAATTAAGTTCTACTGGACTTTTGAATGGACTGTTTTTAAAAAAAGATTTATTTTAGAGAAACGACGTGAGAGTTGGCTACTGAGAAGAATTGTGAGCTATATGTTGAAATGTTATGTTGGCATCATTTTAAAAAGTGAAGGTATTGTGTCAAAAATTGTCTTTAAAATGTACATGATTTGTAATTGAGATACTAAAACGTGCAAAACCACCTTAAATTGGTGTTTAATTCCTCCTTTTGCTTGTTATTGCTCTTGCATAATTTACCTCAGTGACTCCTATTCTTCATGTCCTTCCGTCGATACTAAACTCACTCTCTCTGCTCTCTAGTTTCTTTATCACGCCTGGATCACGGACCCCAAAGCGGCCCTGAGGGCTCGAGCGAAAGAGAAACGCAAATTTTGGAAAAAATACACCAAAGGAGTTAGACACAGAAAAAGCAAGAAAGATGGTAAGCAAGTCTACTCACATGAAACAAACTTTAGTCACGAGTACGAATGAATTTCACTTTCAATTTCCGTCTTTCAACCATAACGAGGTGTCTTGACTGTACTTCAGGAGGTAATGTGACCATAGAGGTTGGTGAGCTCTCAGATGGGGAAGAAAAAGATGAAGAGAACAAGAAGTCTGGTGGTCCAGGTTGGTTTCTCCTCAAGAAAATTGTTTCATGAATCTTCAAAGAATGGATGAACTTGATTCTGGGCTGTTAAGTTCCTCCTTCTGTGTCTGAACCTGAGTGGATTAGAGAAACTGAATTTGGAATGTAATCATGAAGAACCTTCATATGGTGTTGATCACTAATGTGTTTTCGTTTCTTTGACTGTTAATAGGGGTGTAGATAGGTGATTATCTAATGAGTTAGGCATCTTATTATACAATTATAGAATGGAAAGAATCACTCACTAAGTAAATGGCTTTCTATTTTCCCTAATTGATTCACCCTCTTATCTAAATTAAATTCTGGTTTTGGATAAGGATGCCACTGCACATGAAGTGTTTTGGTGAAGTATCACAAACTTCCAACATTCCATCTCTTTCATGTTATTTTACCTTGTGATAATCTTTGATGGTTATTGCTTCTACAGACCGATCAGGAGGATAATTATTAATATGCTCTATAAAGTTTAGTAATGTCAGTTTGCATAATGTCTTCATATTAGCATTTTAAAAAGCAGCTATTTCTTACTGCCACTAAGAGCCATCAATTTGCAATTCTTTACTGCACCCTGAAAAGTTGACTTAATGTGAGCGTTTTGTTTTGTGCTAGACAACATCATCAAGAGAGTGTTCAACATCATAAAGTTCACCTGGGTGCTCTTCCAGACAACGGTGGACAGCTTCACCAAGTGGATGAATGACATGTGCAGGGAGTACATCGACATCTCCACTGTACTGCGTATAGAGCGCTGCATGCTGACCAGAGAGGTCAAAAAGGTTTGTTTTTAAATTGGATTTGTCTTGTTTTTTCAAAACAATTTCTAAGCCAATTGAAGGACTTTGGTGTAATTAAGAACCAATAATAGATTAACTCCTCTTCTCCCACCAGGGTAACGTGCCGTCTAGAGAGAGCATCCACGTCTACTACCAGAAGGCCATGAGGCTCAACATGTCCAGGCAGGCCAGTTTGGATCAGCTAAGTGAGGACGAGTCGGCCTCGGGCTCCACCAGGGTCCACAGAAGGCGAAGAGGCTACCCCATGGAGAGCCAGGACTCCACAGCCTCCAGGGACAGCATATCCAGGTACACGGAGCCTCAGCAATGCAACATGGGAGACCAAATGAGTCCCGATCATGAAATGTTTCAGCGAGTGTTCACCAGTGGTGAGAGAGACAGCTAAATAATAGATTCTAACTGTTTTTTTGCCATTTGGGTGAACCACCCCTTTATGCTGTATATGGCAGCCATTAACAGCTGTGAGGTTGTTCAATAACATCACATTGAGCCATTTCATCCTCCTCCTTTGCCACATCTCAGGATTTTTGTGGTCATCATATTCCTGCTCATTTTTTTTTTATGCTGAGTTTGGATGCTTTTATTACACATTATATGGGAATCCCCCGTCTTTATATCCTAACATAGATCCCATCTCATCCTTCTCATCACTAATCATTCCATGTGTCACTCTCACCATCTCTCAGTGCCTTCACCGAGGCCACCACACTGTTTTCTCGCCAATCCACCCTGGAAGACCTGGATGTAATGCCAGAGTGCATTCCCAAAACCAGCGAGCGAGCCAGGCCCAAACTGCATAAGATGTACGGCCTGGATATGTCCACTTCGTCAATGGACAGCTGCAGCAGCTTCATGTCCAGGTGCCTGGTCTCTGCATCACCCATTTACACACATCACGTGTTACTTCTCATTGTCACGGACATGAAGAAGATCATCAGGCCTCTTGACTTCTGATTCATCAAAAGACTTCTCCAGATCATTGTTTGTTGATTTTTGACGTCAACAGATTCATTGCATGGCGTTTTTTTTTTTTTTTAAACCTGTTTATTACATTCTGTCAAAAATGCATGTCATTTTTCATTTTGAAATAGAAGTGTTTCACCCAATAACGGTGATATAAAAAACAACTTACAGCTTTTGGATTGTTTTTCTTCAGCAATTGCCTGTCTGTAATTTAGGATTGGAACACCACTTTCCTTATTTCAGTGATCATTGAGACATACAGACAAACACCTTACTTTAATTATTTAGTTGTAAGCAACTAAATAACCGTGTAACGGCTCATGCTGACTGATTAATGCTTCCTCTGAACAGAAACCGTCAATCCTGCTGTGTGCTTAGTTCTGTTAACTGTTTGCTCTGTTAGCCAAACACACTGCAGTACTTCCACCGACTGCTAACAACTAACTAGCTCTCCTCCTACCGACGTGAGAAGATACACTACGTTGTAGTCAGTGCTCGGTTTAGTTTGTTATTTGCTAAGCGATAGTTATACATACATACATATATATACACATGCTACATGCAATTGTCTTAAGAAATCAAGACGGGAACAATTTTAATCCAGAGCGAAAACAACAGTCCAAACTGAGGACTGCGGCCCTCACTACCGGCCTGAAAAGGCTTCAATAAATATTGGTTGGTACGTTATAATCAGTACACCTGGCCCCTGCTGAGGATGTGCAATTGAGCAGATATATATTCTGTGTAAATTAGGTGGCTGATTCTATTTCAAACATCCAGTTTTTTTTATTTCCATGTGAATGGATAGACTTGAGCGTAGATTGACACAATCCCTGCTGCTTTTGTCCCCTGCAGTGAGGCGACCCAGTGCGTCACGCTCTACTCCAGACAGGGCACCTCAGACACCATAGAAGAAGTGGAGGATGAGCGGGATCAAGGGGAAGACAAACAGCAGCAGCAGGTTCCCTGGGAATCCCAACAGCTAGATGAGAGTGAGGGGGCCGAGGGCAGTGGCTGGAGTGATGCAGAACCCAAGGACAAAGAGGAGGAGGAGGAGGAGGAGGAGGAGGGTGAGGGCCAGGAGGGACTGGAGGGTGAGGAGGTACCAAGAGACCAGAACAGAGAAGAGAGAGAAGAGGCTCCCTGGGAATCCTTAGGCCCAGATGAGGGCCCCTCTCTCAGGCTGGTGGAGACAGAATCTGCCCCTTTTGCCCAGGAGAAAGACTTCACCACTGAGAGTGAGGATGGAGGAGAACAGCAGGACTTCATGCCGACAGAGGGGCGAGTAGGGCTGGCCTACACTCCCGATACAGATGCTTCTAAAACGTTTGACGCTGACGTGCCTCCCAGTTACAGCAAGGCCGTCAGCTTCGACCGTCTGGAAGTTAGCGATGACGAGAGTGACATGGATAGGAAGAGGCGCATGGTGATGACCTCTGACAGCCACTCAGACAGCAGGTCAGACATCATGTTGCCCTCCATGACCACTGAGCTGACCGCCAGCGAACTGCTGCTCAACAAGTAAGTCCAAAAACAACCAAAACCTGTTCAGCATGAAGCCTCACAGGAATCAAAATCAACAGTTATTTGTCTCAGACCCGTTGCTTTTTCATTTTAGAAATAGCATCTAGTTTGTCCTGTAAGTTGTAAGTTTGTGTCATCCATAGGTCTTGGTATTACACGAGTACTTTCTGAAGTATTTCTGTATCACAGAGTACCAAAAACATTCCATTGAATGCTTAATCCTGTCGAAACTGGTCTTGTGAATTTTCAAATGATCCAAGCTACACCAATCATGTAAATTGGTGTCGTTGCCTCTTGCACTGCAGATTTCAGATTTCACTACAGTACCCAGATTGTATTATACTAAAACAAACTGCTGGACATCCCAACAACAACAACAAAAAAGAACTGCAATATGAGCCAGACTTTAAGGTCCTCTTCGCAGAGGCAGTATGTGGTTGAAGAGTACTTGTGATTATGAGACAGTGGGCCCCTGGGCACAGATATGTTATGGACCCATCCCCCCTCCTACATAGGAACAACACGCACAGACTGAAAGTGTCATTCTGAGTCATTTTGCATCTCTTTGTGGTCATTTTGCATCTCAATGTTGTCGTTTGGCGTCTCTTTGTGGCCCTTCACACCATGCATCAAAATGTGTTTTGGGTGATCGAATTGCATTCGAATCATGTTTGACCACATGAAAGCAAACGTGTAAATGTGCCCAAACCACATTGAGGATGGATTGTGATCCAATCGACAAACCACCTCCGAGGTGGTCAGAGACGCATTGTGACCACATTGAAGACAAGTGTGAATGCAATCGCGTTTTTAATGCACATACAACAACTACGAGCTCTGAGGCTTTGGTTGTAATATTCTAAACTTGTGTGTGTGTGTGTTTCAAACCGAGTTATCAGATCTCAATTCTTGAGACACATATTAATAACAGGTGTAAATGCAGGTTGAATCATATCTAGATACAATCTGGACATGATCTATAATATTTGTGGTATATTTGGGTCTCTTTGTGGTCTTGTTGTGTCTCTTAGGGATCTTTCTGCATCTGTTTATAGTTGTTTTGAGTGTGTTTGTGGCTATTTTACATCTGTTTGTAGTTGTTTAGTATCTTTTTGTTGCCTTTGTGTGTCTCTTTGTGGTCATTCTGCATCTCTTTTTTTTTAGTTGTTTGTGTCTTTTTGTAGTCATGTGTTTTTTTACGTGTCTTTGTGTTCTTTTTGTATCTCTTTGTAGTTGTCTGTGTGTCTTTAAGTGGCATTTTACCAGTGAAGCCCACGGGCCCGTTCAGTAATCCACCCATGATTGCAGGCATTTTTGTGAATCAGGAATAACCCAGATAAACCCAGATATTTATGTTTCTGTAATCTTTTAGATTCCGAAAAACAATCAAACACCAAATCAATCCATCTCTTTATGTCTGTTTAGGATGTTTTATGATGAGGAGCTGGAGCAGTCAGATAAATTCTACCAAAAACAGCCTCTGATCCTCCAGCTCTGCTACGCCATCTACAACATGCTGGTGGCCAACTCAGAGATGGTGTGCTACCTGGTCATCATCATCAACCACATGGTATCGGCCTCCTGCATCTCCCTGGTCCTTCCCACCACCATCTTCCTCTGGGCCATGCTGTCGGTTCCCCGGCCCAGCAAGCGCTACTGGATGACTGCCATTGTCTACACTGAGGTACAGTCAGATACGGATGGAAATTTTGTATTAGTATTGGTGACAATATGTTGATATCTCAATTGAGAATAAAGCTCCGGTACGGAGGACTGGCCCATATTGTTTCTGCTGGCACAAAATTAAGACAAGTTCAGGGAGCTTTACACTTATTATATTTTTAAACACTTTTTGACAATAACATCCAACAGGTAGGAGTAAAAAGTTGCATTGGTGCATTGATTACAAATATTTATGCACAGATAAAATAAGAAAAAGATAATTACGTTATAGTCTAATAGTAAGAATTCACTTATTGAGTTTCTATTATGTTTCATTGGAAAACATCCTGACAGCTTCACTGACACATGCTTTGTTTCCCCTCCAGGTCACCATCGTCATCAAGTACTTCTTCCAGTTTCCCTTCCCCTTCAACAAGGACGTTTCAGATAAGAATAAACCATATCATCCTCCCAACATCATTGGAGTGGAGAAGAAAGATGGCTACGTCCACTACGACCTGGTCCAATTACTGGCTCTCTTCTTCCACAGATCCATTCTGAAGGTTGCTGCAAACACAGAATATTTGGACAATGTTAACCTGAATATGTGCATCACAGTAAATGATAGAAATGGTGATATTATACATTTTTCTAATTGTCAACAAATTCCACAAAAAGACCCAAACCAAAAACAAACACGGAACATTGTAGTTTATCTTTAGTCAATCCCACATACTCCGTCTTGCTGCCGTAAAAATTCACCAGAGCAACAAATGTATTAGCGGCCGAAAATAGTCCATTATTGTGAAACAACAGCGACGCGATAATCTTGGCCAATCATTTTGTTGTTTTCACTATCTTTCTATATGAAAAATATTATATTAAACACAAGGGGATCAATGAGCCCAGCTGTTTTTATTTATTTAAAATTTAACATATTTAGTTTGAAAAAAAAAAAAAAAGAAGAAGGAAACTATGTATTTTAGACTACTTTTAAAGATGTACGTCTTCAGTAGAAAATAATGAGTTTGGGGATGAGTGCCAAAGAACCGTTGGGGGAAGTTGGAAAGTGTTGTGAGAAGATCTCACAAATTGTTGGTTGTGGTCTTTCTATGGGATTTGTTTGCAAAAAGAAAGCAAAAACCTAGAATATTGTCTGCGTTATCTGTTAAACATAAGCAGGCTCTTTGTGCTTCCCATAGATATAACTGTGCTGTATAGGCTTCCCTTGAAAAGAATCAACAAATAATAAGCCGGCACCCTTCAGGGCTCCAATGTCGGCTTATTTATTACAATTAGGAGACATTTCGAGCACAACTGCTCTTCACCAGACTAAAGTTGACAGTGTACGGCGCCATCTTAAATATACACATGCTACAGTTATATGATGCAATCACGTGAACAGAGTGTCTGAAACGACAAAAGCATTCATCGCGTAGACAAAACACAGAGGCACCTCTTCAGTGTTTTCACTTACTTTATGATGACCTACAAGCCTGGTGGTGGCCTCTTAATATTTATATATATATATATATAATATATATATATGTGTTTTGACTATGCAATGTATGCTTTCTCAATGTCACTTCAGACAGTTCATGTGTGATTGCATCATGTGACTCTGTCAGGTTCATATCTAAGATGGCACCTTGCACGGCAGTCATGGAGGATTAGCTTCTAGCAACACGAGCTGGCTGATATTCAATCTTAAATAAAAGGCCACCATTGACCCAATTTAGATGTATTGAATCTTGTCAGAGCATTTCTCTCCATCTGTTTCTCACAGTCTTCCTTCTTTCTTAAAAAAATGAAAGAAACTCTGTAACTGTGATTGTTTGGGATGTACTGTGAAATGTTTGCATGCAACTGCACTCCCTGTACCCGACCCTCAATTAATCTGGGCATAAAAGATGACACAGCCTTTACAAAGCCTGGCCTTTTTCCTCTTCTTTTCATTTCCAGTGCCACGGTCTTTGGGACGATGACGAGCCCAAAGACAAGAGAGCGCTCTCTCGTCAGAGCGAGTCGGGGGACGAGGGGAAAGACAAGCAGAGTGAGATGGGGTCTGAACACGCCTCCTCACTGATAAGTGAGACGAGAGGCTCCACTCACACCTTGAGATCCATAAACTTTGGGACCTCCATTGATTCAGGACATGTCCAGGTGCACTACTCGCAACAGCAGACCTACCAGCGTCGCAAGAGCTCCAGCGGAGGCTCACACATTTCTCACCGATCACTCCACTCTTCTGCAAGGTCCAAGAGAGGTGAGGATCTTTTGTCTATTGTCTATTTCATACTACTAACTAGAAAACATGAGGCTGAATGTGGGACAGTTAACACTCTTCCCTTAAAAATAGCCCTGAGGGTGATGTGTCATTTTGCAGTAAGCATAACTGTTACTCTTCGAACAATAATAATCACAACAACAATAAATAGAAGGAATCCTCTGGGCATGTGCCACAAAGAAACATGTGTTGTGGTCTCTAGTCTTCACCCTTGGATTAAGTTTTTGTGTTTTTGGATCTTAGGCTTTATCAGTCACTCAACGCCTCATCATGGCTCATTTGCAGCTCAAAATGTAAATTGTTTCCACAGGAAGTACGACTTCCCACAACAGCAGCCACAAGGACGGCAGCGAGGCCAGCGTCCATCAGAAGACCCGCAAGCAGATGATCATGGAGAAGCTGAGGGAGCAGCTCCTCAAAGGAAAAGCTTTCGTCATAAAGTGGTACAATGAAGCACGGCTGGTTCACAAACGTTGTTTCTTTTGTCTCCACCCACGGCTGCTTACTGGCCAACAGTCCTCACTGTAATTCTACAAGAACGTTTGTAGCTTTATGAGGGCAGTGATGAGAACTGTGCTCAGCAAGTATTCTGCACGAATAATGGAAAATCATATCAGTGAGACAGCAGCTAAAACCTTTCAAAGGTCTAAATTTAGACCTTTAATTACAGCATTCCCGTTAGACCAGTCAGTGTAATTTTGGTAAGTGCTGCAACAGACGATCAAAACCTGTCCTGGCCAAGATAGGCAGCATTAACGATGAGTTACATACAACATCAGACAAAATATACAATAAAATCCTAATTAATCTAATTAAATAACCACAAATAGCATTTCTAATATGATAAGATTACTCCTAAAAATGTGCCTTAGGCTTTTGTGAGCCATGCGGATAACTAAGAATAAACCAAAATCATAGATTTGTGAATATTTTGCACGACTCCTATGACAGGCCTGGTCTACTGGGAAATTGTTTTTGTACCGAAGTGAAATTTCAAAATATCAGAAAACTGGTGAATGCAGCGAGTTCTCCTAAATCATTCCAACAAGCCACTTAAACACTGAATCTGTTGTCCGAGGGGTTCTTGCGTGAGGCCCAATGTTTCTTTTTATTTCTTCATAGGTTCATGGAGATCTACATTCCCATGAGGCAGTTCTTCTATAACTTGATCCACCCAGAGTACAGCGCAGTCACAGACGTCTATGTGCTGATGTTCCTCGCGGACACAGTCGACTTCATCATCATTGTGTTTGGATTCTGGGCGTTTGGTGTAAGTTTTAGAATCAGATTTAAATCCATTAACAAAATCACTTCTGACAAAGTTAACATTTAGTTTCATCCCTTCTAGAAACACTCGGCTGCAGACATCACATCGTCCCTGTCAGAGGATCAGGTGCCGGGACCTTTCTTGGTCATGGTCCTGATCCAGTTTGGGACCATGGTGGTAGACCGGGCCCTCTACCTCAGAAAGTCTGTCATGGGAAAAGTTGTCTTCCAGGTCATCCTGGTCTTTGGCATCCACTTCTGGATGTTCTTTATCCTACCAGGAGTCACAGACAAGTAAGAACTCAATCCTCCGTCATATTAGATATGATTTGTATTTAATCCCAAGTTTAAGTGTCCTGATTAATGTTCAATATTCTGAGGTACTTTGGTGACAATATCCTTGGTTTAAAATATAGCGTAGTGTCTGTGGTGTATGCTTTTCATCTCTCTTGTATGTCTGTTACTATTCAAATAAAGAAAGACATCTCAGATTGTTTGATTCTGAATGTTTTACAGCTGAAAGGAATTAGTTCAGTATTACTTTTCTTTGCAATCGCGCTTTTTTGTTTGCAAAGCCTTGAAAAAAACAGAATATTTGAGTCTTTCTGCTGTCTATAAATGAAAAAAAGATCCAGACTACTTAAATTTTACAAACTGTTTTGCTTGTCTGTCCCTCGTAGGCGTTTCAGCGAGAACACAGTTGCTCAGATGTGGTATTTTGTCAAGTGCATCTACTTCGGGCTGTCAGCCTATCAGATCCGCTGTGGTTATCCCACCCGCGTTTTGGGAAACTTCCTCACCAAAAGCCACAATTATGTCAACCTCTTCCTGTTTCAAGGGTGAGTTACTCCAGGAATGTATCATTTCTTCCAGCTGGGCAAACAGGTCCAAGGCTCCCGTCGTGTCCGTAGGTTGACAACTAGCTGATGTTGCAAGAATGGAAGGAGACAGATAGGATTACACCTGGAGTTGTTTGTTTCAAAAATGTGGAAACAAGATATTTATTTCGGGTCTTTTGGGAATGTTTTATTGTATATTTCAGTATTTAAGTCTTTAATGTCACTTCAAGCAAAAATACTGAACATTTGCTGTTTCCAGCTTCTCAAATGTGAATATCTTGAATTTTGGTCAGTCAACCAATTGATAGACTTCACCGAGAGCTCTGTACACTTCTGATGAGCATTGACAACTCCTTAAATGTGACCTCGAATACACTGCTTTTTGCAAGTCGTCAGAAGCCAACAAGGTTGTAAACCACTGGTTTAGTCTTTAACAATGAGTTGTATTTTAATAGTTTTTGTAATATCCATTGTGTAAAATCTTTGTCTTAAAAGTAACTAGCAATTAAAGCTGTCAAATAAATGTAGTGGAGTAAAAAGTACAATATTTCCCTGTGATATTTATGTTAGTGGAGTAAAAGTATGAAGTAGCATATATGAAAATACTCAAGTAAAGTACAAGTACCTCAAAATTCTACTGAAGTACATCAATGTACTTAGTTACTTTCCACCACTAGATATTAATGTAAAAATGTGTCGTGGTCGCCAACAACTTTCAGTGCTGTCCAGTCATATTACTCTTAAATCATTTTAATTGAGATCAGTTATTGTTGTTTTGGTCTTTTAGTGGAACCACCCCAAAAAACACTATACAGAATATAAGTGCTCATGAACACACAAAATGTTTTTACTATTGTTGGCACTAAATCATTATGTCAAAACATAAGCCATTGCTTATTATGCCTGTCTTACTCTTGTACAAAATGAACAAATTCCTGAGCGTGATTTTCTGATTTAAAAATACTGAATCAGATTGTATTTTCTTCAAAAATGTCAAAACAACTATGATTTGTCTGTTGTTTGTAGTTTCCGTCTGGTGCCGTTCCTAACAGAGCTGCGAGCCGTGATGGACTGGGTTTGGACCGACACCTCGCTGTCTCTGTCCAGCTGGATTTGCGTGGAAGACATCTATGCGCACATCTTTATCCTCAAATGCTGGAGAGAGTCTGAGAAGGTGTTTATCAATGGCGCTTCAGTGTACTGAGAGAAAGTGAATCGCTTTCAGAGCCAAAGTCTGCCATGTTGGAATTCATGCTGAAATTAGCTTTTGTGATTTGTGGAAGTGGATCTTTTCTTTTTTTCAATTTGAACATCAGTTGGGCTGTCACTTTCTGCACTGAGCTGTATATTAGTTAACAAAGATATATTTGTTCTGTGGTGCCTAATACTCCCAAAAGTGCACTAAAATATGTTTATTCTACGCCTCACTAAAGTAAATAATGCACTCTTGCAGTCCTTCCTGGCTCAGTCTGCAAGTACCTCCTCCCCTGAAAGTAATTTTTTTCCATCTTTACTTTTTAATCCTGGTCCAATTAATTGCCTAATTCTAATGGATTTACAAAAAGTAGTCCAGGCATAGAAAACACGTAGCCATTACCATTGCATCAGGTCTGCACAGCTGTTTTGCCTTGTATCCAGGTCAAATATAACATCTCACTGTCCTTTATCGCATCCTTCCGCAGAGGTATCCCCAGCCACGAGGCCAGAAGAAGAAGAAGGTGGTGAAGTACGGGATGGGAGGGATGATCATAGTGCTGCTGATCTGTATCGTCTGGTTCCCGCTGCTCTTCATGTCCCTTGTTAAGTCTGTAGCCGGAGTCTCCAACCCACCGGTGGATGTGTCGTTTGAAATCACCCTGGCTGGCTTTCAGGTGTGAACACAGTTTCTTTTATCAAATCATTTGAGCCAAAACAAGCTTTGCCTAGTGCTTTACTGAGCTGGAATCCTTTTCTCAAATTAAATGAAATCCTGCCTCCTGTGAGAAGTAGATAAGATAGTAAATAAGTCTGTGATTCATTCTAAGGTAAGTCTTTATTTGAATGGCTTGAACTGGCACTTTTTGATCAGATGTGAAAGAGAAGCCAGAGGATTGGAACCGTATTTTCTAAGTTGTGTAAGTATTCTGGCTGCAGGGTTTAATGTTTGATTGTGTATCTGGGAAACACCCACAATTACTAAAAACAAACAAACAATTTCTTCTTCTCACAGCCCATCTTCACCATGAGCGCTCAGCAAAAACAGCTGCAGACTGTGACAGTAAAAGAATATAGAAAGTTTGTGAACGAGTATACAGATGATGTAAGTATAAGAAATATACAACAAATACAAGATGTCAGATGTTGTGTTTGTTGTTGTATAAGTCAATGTATTGAAAAAGACATGCACTGGGGTTCTGCTCGAGCTCAACACAGTTCTTTATACGGGCTAATTATCCACTATACATTTAAACTTACAATAGTTCTGCTCAAGCACTCATAGCTCTCTCCTTCTTTTAGCATCTTGTTAATCCCACACTTTTTTACACGCTGTTCAGTTCTGCTTGCATTTTCCTTGTTGAGTCGCCCAAATGCCTGCTCATGAGGGAATGTTGGGTCTCTGCTCACAAATATTAACTTGCTTATGTTTATCAGGTAATGTTTATCATGTTTATACTCAAAGTTTAGGGACTTTGACAACCTGCTAATTAGCAGGAAACATAAACTCTTTTCTTCTCGATTAATTAATCATTATATAATTATTATCCTAAAGCCCAAGGAGATGCAACGAGACGCTTGCTTTTTCCTATCAACAGACCAAAAAAGGTTTTTCGTTTATTATCGCATTAAGAAAAGCATCAAATCCTCACAATTGAGAAGCTGTAATCGGGGGACGCTCAGCATTTCTGCTCGAAAAACTTGATTGATTCTTAAGATAGTTGCTGTTCTATTTTTCTGTCAGTCGTCTACTCAGTCACTTAAATAATGTTCCCACTATGTGATGTTTTTTTTTCCGCGGTTAGGACGCCTTGCAGTGGCTGGAGGGCTACTTGGCAGAGGACCTGATCATTGCAGAGCTGAAAGGTAACTCCAACTCTCTGTGGACCATCAGTCCACCCAGCAGAAAGAACCTGATAGAGATGTTGGACTCTAGCGAGAAGTTCTACATCACTGTGTCCTGGTTCGTGCAAAGGTACACCTCCCTCATGTTGTCCATTCACCATGTCTGCATGTATCTTAATGTTAACGTTATGTGACAAGAAAGTGGATGAATTATGATCTATAGTAAGAGATAATCCCAAAGTACAACCGCAAAAAGGGAAACGTGTAACTATAGTCGTGCACTGTTCACTGTATAGTCGGTTAACTTTTAGCACCAGGGCATGCCGAACATTTGGCTCGTGGGATTACAAGACATTTCAAAATACAGTAACACACAATCAGGCGGTTCCGCAGGAATATGAAAAAAATCGCCCAGGATTATATTTCAGTCGTGAGCTGATGTGTTTTTTATAAGGGTCTACTTGCACAGACTGGTGTCTGGCCAAATCAATCAATCATATGCTTATAAACACAAAACAAATTCACACAAAGTTATTGGAAGGGGTGCGGCTTGGCTGCTGACCCTGTGCTTCTCTCTGCCATTTTCAATTATTGATCAGACCCTAACTTTAAATGAGAATTCAGAGGGCATTTTTAAGAGAGCCAATCACGGATTGTTTTTGATCAGGGAGCTGAAGAGCTTTGGCGTTAAACATGCTTGAAATTAGCATGCAGAAGCATTGTTGAAAGCATTTTAGCCTACCAGCATGGTACGGCAGCTCGAGTGCAAAAATCTCTCCGAGATTGTTCGTATTGCGGTGAAGGTGATTCTCAAGTCACAGAAACAACTTTGCAATGCATTTGACAGTGCTGCACACGGGGAGGCTGCAGATACCTCACATCCACTAATCATCGGTTTCATGAGGTGATATTAAGTCCTTAAATGAATTACTATGTACTATGTTGTGTTTCTGTTGTTGTGATTTCAGAAACCTCACTTTCGGTGCCAAGGCTGAAGTAGCGTCAGGAAAACAGGTGACAGCTCTAGACGATACCATAAAGATGGAGCTTATAGAGGTCCTAAATGGGACAGAAGAAAACGCACAAGTGTGAGTATATCAGCAGCTCCTCTTTTTGTTGCCATGTAATAAAGTGTGTTTTGTTGCAGTAACAGCCTCTCTTCCTCTGCAGGACCCTGACAGAGGTCTTCCCTCGTTTTATGCGAGCCCCCAGTGACTCACATGCCAAGTCTGTTGATCAACTTTATAAAGGTGAACATCACCATCTTTATCAATGTATAGATAGGACTTTTTTGGATAGTTGTTACTTGATTTGATGACAGCAAAGGAAATGTAAGAGCCTCAATTTAAATTTCACTTTTCAATAAATTGACACCTATTCTTAAAGTGCCCGTAGGAATATAAAGTGCTGAATCGTCTTTGTACATTTAGTTAAAGCCACTACGTTTAAAGTAGTAGTATCAAAAAATGCCCAGTATTAGACAGGATTGAATGTCTCTACAAAGAAAATGATGTGCCATAAGAATAATCTTTAAATGATTTAAATATCACATCAGACAAAAATTTGTTAAATTTAGAATATCACGGTTTTATTCCCCCAAAAAGGATACATAATGTTTGTTAGTAAAGTATAAACCTGACATCAATATATTTTAATTTCAATTTACTCAGAAGTTCTTCTTTATTTTTCACTTGTTAAGTTTCCTTGTTTACCGACAATGTTTTGTTGCTGGGAATGGGAGGACGTTTTTTGTAAATGTGTTCTATTTTTTGAAAGTAACAAAACATTGTTTGTATTTTTTGCCTTTTTATTCTGATTAAATAACATAATTATATTCCCCATCTTTGTAGATAAAAAGTTGCTGAACATAACCTTGACCTTGAATAGAGCTTTGAACGCCGGGGATCAGACACCGGAATGGTGGATTGTCAGCCAGACGGTGCCGGGCCCGATACCAAAGAGGGATTCCAATAAGGCTGAAACAGGCCTGGAGTTCTACGTATTTAGCGACAAAGTCAGCCCGCCCAGTTTGGGATTTCTGGCGGGATATGGGTATGTGGTGATATGTGGTGATTTTAAAATAGAGAGAAAGATTTGTCCTGCTTTGGTGCTTCGGTGAAATGTCTGCGTTTACATTCAAGAAACATTTTACATTTTAGAGATTATCCAAAGCTCTACACACAGCGAGCATGTCAGTGTCTGGTGATTATTCACCTTATTTACACGGTGATTTGAGCTTGTTGTTAGAAACAGAAAACAGTAATTCTTAACCAAGGGATCGGAAAGCAGCAAGAGATGCACCGATTGCAATTTTCTTGGCTGATTTTTAAAGAAGTCTGACCTGCCTATTCTGATTTTCTCTTTCTAAGAATCATAATTGACAGCATACACACACGTTTGTGTGTTGTTGTGCCGCTCTGTGTGCCGACATAAAACCATCTGTATAAATTTAAACTGGGAGCAGACGAGAACAATTTTGAATAAAAAACACCTTTTCCCCCCCACAATATAACCTTATGTTATGTGCCGGGACTGTGATACAAAAGAGTCAAAGAGCACAATGTCTTATTTCTTTTTCTCTATTTCCTGTCTAGGATCATGGGCCTGTATGCCTCTGTGGTTCTGGTCATCGGCAAGTTTGTGCGCGAGTTTTTCAGCGGCATCTCCCACACCATCATGTTCGAGGAGCTGCCCAACGTGGACCGCATCCACAAGCTGTGCACAGACATCTTCCTGGTCCGAGAGACGGGGGAGCTGGACCTGGAGGAGGACATGTACGCCAAACTTATCTTCCTCTACCGCTCTCCAGAGACTATGATCAAGTGGACCAGAGAGAAAACTGAGTGAAACACAGCGAGGAGACGCAGTCTAATACAGGTCGGAGCTCATTCGGAAAGAGATCGCTCTGATGGTGCGAGCAGCTATTTCAGCCGATTCATCTGCTGAGGGAGCCCAAAGTCAGCTGAGGACCAACCCTGTCCTGTTCTACTGAGCTCTGATGGAAGCGATACAGCGTTAGCGCCACACTTGAGTTATAAACTGGTATTTTATACTATTAACTGATGAAAAACAACAACTGCAGTCATATTATTAACAAATGACGACAGATTTGCCGGTGCTGTATTTATCTCGCGAAACCTGGCTCAGTTTGGCATCCAGTGGAGAAAACAAGCAGCTGGTGTCCAGTTGGAGACGGAGAAATCTTAAGTTATTTAAAGTCTTATCCCTAAAATAAAGGTATGTTTTTAAACACAAATACCCAGAACCCTCATCGCTCTTCATGCCTGTCTCTCTAACATTTTCACAGTCGCATGGTAGGCGGAGAGAATTGGGCTGCAACATTTATCTTTAAGGGCTTCCCATCAACAAATAAGTGCACAATAATGACCACATGAGCACAATCTCATATTTTCTCCCAACTGGAACGCTTGGACTGTGGGACTGTGCAATATTGAGCTCCCATTTCTCCCAAGTTGTTGAAGGATGTGGGCCGAGGGGAAAAGGCTGGTTCTAACCAAGAAACCTGAACATAAAAAACACCTTTTTTTTTTTTGTAAAGGTCAGAGGTCACATGGGAGCCTCCTGAGAGACACGACGCAGAAAACATTATCAGACAATCTTTACTTGCCTTATTTTGTTTTTGTATGAGGAGAACTGTTCTCTACTACATACATATCTTTCTCAGGAAGAGCTCTTTTCACAGATATTCATTGTATGAGTTATATGTTACAATATGTAGGCTTTGATGGATCTAAAAGAATATGAGATTGTAGAAAAGATGGGAACTATTTAAATGGCATGAATTTTAATGTGGATATTGTTTAGAAGGACTGACACTGAGTATGTGAAAGTGAATTTAACGCTGTGGACTGTTTTCCTCGAAGAGATTAATTGCCAATAATCCATGTTCGGAGTCATCTACAGGTTGGCAAGAGTCGAGACCAGCAGAGGGCTGTTTTTGAATCAGGGTAACATGCATTAGGTGGTAGATTCTTGCACATCACTTGTGAACCTCTCGCTGTTTTTAACATTCATACTCATGAACACTGTGGCGCGTCGCGTGCATTCAGTCATCAAAGAAGAAACGAGCAGACACAAATAAAAAGATTCCTCACATGAAGGGCTGAAACACGAAGCCCTTTGGTCCAAACTATGCATTAGAGGACATTGTAGCATGATAGAAAAACTTCATTATTGCCATGACTCATTTTCATTACATGTACATACAAGTTTAAGGGGGACAGGTCATGGTGGAATGAAATGTGAAATTGTACCTGTATGTTTAAGGCGATGTGGTATGATAGAGGTCTAGAGATCTGCAAATAAAACATTTGGAAAGGTTGTTGAGTTTTGCATTCAGCTGCTGTGGGACTGTGAGTGAGCAGGCGGAGAGTCTGTGTGTTGGTCATCAGTGTTCATCACTGAGACCCTCTGGTTTGAAGATGGCCACCATCCAGTCAGTTGCCAGGAGGAACAGGAATGTGACAATCCTTCTTGACGCCCGTTGCGACGTTAAAAAGCTCTGAGAAAGCAAGCATGACTTTGCATGAGGTTCCATCAATTGAGTTGTTGATTAAGTTTATAATCTTGGTGGGAATGCCATAGTGGTCCTTTAGGCGCCATTGTGTTGTCTTGTCTCAGCTGTCGAATGGTATCTCAAATTCAATGGACGTATTACACTCAGTAGACTGTTCAGTGGTGATGTGTAGCGTTGCTGTGGTCTGTGCATGAGCGACCTTTCCTGCTTCTGGCTGGCTCGTTAGGTCTACAGCTGTGGACAAGAGAGGCTATACATCTCATGAATAGATACCTTCACATTTTGTCTTGCCACAGCAGGAAAAGTAGAGGTGGGATTGATACCAGTAAAAAAAAAAAAAAAAAAGCAACTGCATTTCATTCAGGTGAGTCAGTTCCTCACTGAGTTTCTAATTGGAACTGAACCCATGATTTATTTCGCCTGTGCTTTTTCTGCTCGGACAACTCTAAATGCCTGCCGTGGAAAGGGTTTTTTACCCTCTCAATCAACTGACTACCCCCCCCACACCCCTAAAAAAAAAATGTGTGGCATGTGGTTTAAGAGAGTGGTGAATGGATTGCATTGGCAGGACTTCACATTTTTATATATTTTGACTTTTTGAAAATTACTGCCCATAATTTTGCTTCATCTCATTGAGTTCCCATACTTTTTAAATCCAAAATGCATTCCCCAATCTAATAAAGCCTTTCGTAAACAACGTACACACATCTCTAAGCTACAGTTAAACATTTTTATTTTCACCAAAGGCAGCATTTATGTACACAAGTCCGGTTTTGATCTTGCTAATGCACAGATGCATCACGGATAATGAGAGGGCATCAGAAAAGTAGTGTGTGTGCGCGTGTGTGTGTGTGTGCGCGCATTAACAGCGAGAGAGCATTAGCCTCATCAAAGACAAATCGGTCTTGGGAAGCTACAGTCATTACATGTCTGTCAGAGGCCATTTTGGTGTAGACATCTGCAGCCGCTGTTAGTCTGGAAAATCTCTCTGCTAACTTGTTTAAAAGAAATGCAGGGAGGCCATAAAATGCCACATGATGGAAATGTTTTATTGATGCATGTGCAAAGTTCAGGGATATGCTTTTGAAGAATACACAAGTAGTGGGCAACAACGGCACAAATAAAAAATGTAAACAGTCCCTTTATCACCTTTAGTTATATATGGTATCAGAATAATTTTAATTGGCATGTAAATGATTTTGTCCTTAATCAGTGGGGAAAAAGGACTGAAAGCATCACATGGTCCCTTTTCATGTTTAAGTCCATTTAATTCGAGGAATGTACTGTGGAAATAAAGACACAGCCATTACTATTTTTTAGTTTAAGGTGGAAGAGAACACACACACACCTCAAAAACAGTGTAAAATTGGCAACATCAGGAACTGTACTGTTATTTTAATTTTCTTCAATAAGCACTAATTCTGAAGTGTCGATCATTTTTAAGCCACACATCTTTGATTTACCATTACATTATTGCAAACATGCATTAACAAACTGATTGCATATTGTTCCAGTAACAATTTCAACAGGCTGCAGCCATGAATACTGAATAATTTAACTGTACAAATAAACACCTATACACTGATCAACTGAAGATATACTTAAGAGCATTTCTGATTTTAATATACCTATAGGAATCTTAAGACTCACAAACAATGAGAGTAAAATGTGCAGCTTCACAGAAACAAGAAATAATTGAACATTTACATACAACAGGCTTTCAACATGGAAGATTTGTCATTACACCGAGGATCCGCCTCAAAGAAACACAAATTAAAAAAGCTGCTTAAACTCGGGTCGACTCTTTTGCAGCACCAACTGTAACTATTTTTTTTTTCAATTAGCTTTTTTTCTTGCACAATTAAGATTAAACAGCCAAACATCTGGGCTTCAGAGCTGAAAGGATTCGTCAAGGTTTTTAACTCGTACACAGAGGGTGTAGTGGAGGAGTAGCAGATGGGTAGAGTCGACTCTCTGGAGGCAGAAGGCTAACACAGCCCTCCCTCATAATCATCCTCATCTGCAGCGGCAGCTGGAGCGCCGCCTTGTGGGGCAGCAGCGGCCTTCTTCTTCTTTCCTCCTCCTCCGGGTACCCTCAAAGAAAGGGCCAGCTTAGCGTACTGTGAGACACCAGGGAATAAAGTGAGTCATCAGACCCTGAAAACGCATTTTCTCAATAAGCTTCTTGCTATATTTGCCGGACATTTTCTGCAGAATTTAGAACAGTTTTGGTTCTTTCATGTGAGAGATTTCTGCATTTCTGTTCTTGTTTGTGCTTTTGACAGTGGTTTGAAAAAGGAGGGGCTCTGCAGGAAAAAGGTGATGTCGTAATGTTGCGCACAAGTCGAGTTAAGCAACATTTGAATCAAAATGTGACAGTTGTGGGGTTGTTAGTTTATGATACCAGGCCACTGTTGATCAAACCTCATGCACAATGTCCTCATGAAGCAAATTAGATGAGTTTTTTTGAGTGTTGAACCCTTAAAAAGATAATTTATATATACATATATGTATATATACACACACATTTATTTATAAGTATGTGTCAACAGTACTCACGTCATTGTCCATGTACTTCAGTAAAGGTGAGCTGCACACACGGTGGACCTGGTCCTCGTCCTGCTCGTCGTAGCCCTGCAGTAGCGTCTCCATTGCAATGCAATCTTCGCTTCCGCTGTACCCAGGCAGGCTGGTGAGACCAAGCAGCACTTCATGTAATGATCCTCAGTTTATAGCGGCAGAAGTGTTACACCGTAAACGTGATGTAACGTTAAGGGGTAAACAAACTCCCAAGAGGGCCTTTGCATGCTTTTGACTGCGAAGCACCAACATTTTCTGTTTGACTCCAGGAAGTCAGCTGGTGGAGTTTTAATGCTTCTCGCACAAGGAAACTTTGTCTCCTTGTAGTTCCAGCAGGACACAGATTACAGAAATGACAGAATGTGATCATAGAATCATACCTGTAACTTTCCCGGACACATTTATCAGCTGCTACGTAGTCCCCTCTATGAAGATGAATCAGTACTTGAGCAGTTGTTTTCTAAAGGATGAAAAGCATAGACCAACATGTGTGATTAATAGGAACTGAATAAATCCTTATTGTTTCTATTTTAATTTGTTTTCATTTATAAGGGGTCAGAACAGGCCCTAAACATCTGGTAGGTAAACGTCTGTGGTAATATTTTATGTTTGCTGAAGGTGCATAGATAACTTAAAGACATAAAAACAACAACCCACCTTGAAGCACATGGGGAAGTTCTCAATCTCTTTGTACATGTTCTTCTCTTTCTGCAGAGCGACTGATGCGTCATCCAACCTGGTGAGAAAGACGAGAACCCAGTGAGGAATGAGGAGGAGCAGGTACTGCAGTTTAACTGTATTTAAAAACACGAACAACAGCTTGGGGCTGTTGGGAGGTGAATATATAAAACATTTGAAACAGCTTTAACACCTTGATATATGGGACAGATCCAAGTGAGGTTACTGAATAAATGTTATCTTTCAACTTGCTTAATAGCTTTCTACATCAGCATGAAACAAGACAGCTACAACTGCTCCTGTGTTGTATAAAAAACAAACACACCATCTACAGTAGAAGGTATGTCTCCTCCACCTTATCTTCATTTCCTTTACCTTCTTAACCTGACCAGAAGTCTGGAGGCTTTCCCCAGCAGTTCAACTGCCTGACGCAGGCGGTCCTCATTCTGCAGAGAGAAAACATGGATGTTTATAAGCGGAAAGAAATGAAATCACAATCTGTAACAATTAGAAATTTATTTGGGTTTTGCCGGACGCTCAATTTCACCTCAAACACGCCAGCTGCTTTCTGATACAGGTCCACAGCTTTCTCTAGGTTTATAGGCTCTATCAGTCTGGTGAATAATAAAAGAAAGAGTTTTTAGATGAAAGGAAAGTCTAAATAATCTGGCATTGCATCAGTATCCCGTTTTTAATAGATGGAATTTCATCAGAACTAAAAAGGTACGGTGTCAGCTAATAATAAGACTGAAAGCTAACAGTTGAGGAATTTAAGGTAAGGTCAACAAGCCAACTTCTTTAAGTGTAGAAAATAAAGTGATATTTTTTACTTTCCAGCCCGGTCCAGAGCCATGGCAGCAGTGTCAGGAGTCCCATTCTCCATGTACATCATACAGGCTTTCTCTATGTACTGGATAGCCTCCGGCATCTTCTTTTGCTCCTGTTGCAATGCAAACACAGCCGAATTACAACTCTGCTGCAGGCGCTTTCCCTCCATCTACCTGTTATTAAATTGAATGTTTAATCTGCACTCACCTTCATCATCATACCTGCCTGTTCAATAGCCCTGAGTGAAGAAAGAGAGTTTGAATAAATCAAGCGTTTTTTATGTTTGCTGCTGATTTATAGCGATGTTGTAAAACAAGATACTTACTTAGCAGCATGGAAGAGCCTGGAGGACAAGTTAAGGAAACGACAAAAACAGACACACCACAAATAGCAGTGTAGTGTCATGCAACTGTGGACAGAGTACAGAAAGGATACGTCTTGTTTTCTGTGTGATACTCTGCTTCCTTCAGGTAAGCATCCTTTGCTTGGTCATACTGCTTCGCATTCTTGAAGCACACCGCTAAAATAAAAAAGGGACACAGACCGTTTGCGATAAATATGTGGGATATTTGTGAAATGATTACTTACACGAATTTTAAGCTACCTGCTTTGGCGTATTCTGACGCAGCACTGTCAAAATCCGGCTTCCACTTTGTCAGACCGGTCTTTAAGCTGCAAAAAATATGATGATGAGCGAATTATAAACGGCTGAAGCAGCAGCTTGATCCGTGTGTTATGAATTACAGAAGAGGACAACATTGTGCCTCATTTGCTGTCTATTAAATCCAGCTATAATGAACTGACGATGCATAAATACTGTCCATTTATGTCGCATAACCCCAGGTGAAAGAGCCACAGTGGCCTTTAACGTTGCAGCTAGCTAACAGCAATAGGAAAACAAACTGCCGTTTCCTGGTGAGGAAAGAAACGGACATTATTTATCGTAACTCACCATTTTTCAGCTTTAGCCATATGCTCGTGAGCTTCGTTTATCTTCTGAGCAGCCATACTGTTAGTTAACTCGACGAGGTATGATTTGTTACCGATAGCAATGAACGCTGTTTCGTCGATGTTTGGATTACCGAGATGCTCCTCTTCGGGCGCAACGTCATCCAATGTCGCAGGCTACGGGTGCCGCCGAGCACAAAAAGACCCAGTAACGCGATACCCTGGGTGTTGTAATTTAACTGCTGCACATGTATTTACATACATATATACATACACATATTAATATAAATATATACATACATATATACAGCATGCATGTATGTATATGTATGTATCAGCATTGGAATATATACCCCAAGTGGTTTTAGAAAAAAAAAAACACTCAATGTATTCAAAACACTCAATATGCAGACTAGAAAGTTGGCTATTAATTCACATTATTGTCCCACAATCAAACTCTCAAAGGAACTGCAGGTGAAGGTTACTGGCATTGGCATTCCTAAATCACAGTTTGATTTCATGATGGTATACACAGTTGAGTTATTGATTTGTTGTTTACTAAGTTAAAAACAGCACTAGGTATATGCATTGTATACAGTTCAGTATGTAGACTAATACAGAATTGCTATGTTTATAAACAGATGTTGAATATCAGATATATTTGTATTTGGGTTGGGATTAGGGGGGGACTTCAGGTGACTATGGCCTTTGCACCTGAGGCTAAATATTGGTGCATGTTGCTATTATGAAGATTAAACTGATCATGGTGAAACTATTGTGATGTGCAGTCTTTTTTAGAGCAGACACAGTTTTTGTTTTTGGCTCCTAACAGATTATTTGTTCGAAAAAAATCACTGCAAACCACGAATCTTTGTTTTTAGAAGAAAAAAAATGACAAGTTAGAAAAACTACTGAGAGGAGCCGGAAGCGGAAGTCTGTTGTAATGTGGTCAGTGACGTCATGACGGCTGCTGTCTCTAATGGCTGGACAACAACAACTGTCGGCGAGGGGCAAACTTTCACAAACTTCTACTGAGACGAAAGAAAGTTGGATATAGCGAAGTATTTCGGTTGTGTAACAGTTTATCCGCGTTTGTCTCTGTTTTTCTTGTAATTACAAATGCGTAATTACTGATGGATTCGAGGTATGACATCCCGCGGAGGGCCGCCGGGGGCTCCGCGAACTCGTCCCCCGCTCTGGGGGCTCAGTCGCGCCGCAGGAAGATGCCTCCCAGACCCGCTGATTTTAAACTTCAAATTATCATTATCGGCTCCCGTGGTGTCGGTAAAACCAGCATCATGGAGAGATTTACCGATGACACTTTCTGCGAAGCTTGCAAGTCGACCGTAGGTGAGGACAGAAGGCGTTTACGAGACTTGTATTTGTCAACTTTTTATTGACAGCAGTTAGCAGGGCTCTGTCTACTTCCTGGAGGGAATATACATGAACTATCATGGGCTAGACGTTATAATCATATTGATGACTACTTAACTTAAATGGGACTGAACGGAGCTAACCCCACTGACTGGAGCTAGCTAACTTAAGCTAACGGAAACAAAAACACTGCTCTAGCTGTCAAATCTGTCTTAGCTTTTAGGTTGCAATGAAGCAACTAACGTGACACAAACAAACGTGTGAGGCTTGGAACAGTGTTTTGTGTGTTTGTCACATCGATCAGGCTGTTAGAGGGAATGTGGAGCAGGGATTTTAGAGCCCAACACAGTAACTTTTATAGCATCTGCAGCTGTCCAGTAATTAGTTAACTGGATTTGTTTGTGGTGAGCCTGTTGTGTGTGTGTGTGTGTGTGTGTGTGTGCGCGCGCGCGTGTGTGCCATCATTAAATGCAATCTCCATTTCTTAACAACTATTTTTATTATATTAAGAACTGAGACATTAACGTCACATATTTCTACATAAAAACGTATTACCACTTTATCTTATTTTTTAATTTATTTTTTAAACAAGAGAACAAATTGCTGTGCCATGGCTATAGAGGCTGCCAGCCAAAAACACATGAAACCCTACATAATGTGGAATTGGGCAAACAGTCCCCTGACCAAAACAACAGTCAGACCAATCCCAGAATAGTCACACACAAGCAGCTGCTGTGGTAGAGCTCCATTTTGTGCCCTGTCATTCCTGTGATGCAGAGTGTCACTATACATTGTGTTCCTTTGATCAACGATTACCATTAAATCCAAATTTAATTTAATTTAATTGCAGTGGACACTTCCCTCCTTTGCTTTAAAGGTTGTGTCCAACAATACAGGAAATGCTGGTACTTGTATGTGTCCACATGTATGTTTTCTGATTTTCCCCCCTCCCCCCCCACAGGAGTTGACTTCAAAATCAAGACAGTGGAGCTGAGAGGGAAGAAGATCAGACTACAGATATGGTGAGTAATTGGACAGAAGGCTCCAGTTCCTTAACTCCTCTGCATGGCGCATTTCCTGTGTCTGTCCTGTCACCCCGCAGGCTGCTCCAACTAAAACTACTGGTGGCTTTCAGCTTTGTACAGTAGGCAATGCCTGTGCAAATATGATTTCCTAAAAATGATGTCATTGCATGTTTTGTCAACCATTAACATGCGATGTGGCATTTTTTTTTTTCATCCAAAGTCCCAAATTAAAACGCTGTGGCTCCAGTGGGGATATAAGTTACTGAAACTTTGTGTGCAGCAGCACATGATCACACGCACCATGTTGTTGTCTATAGTTGGCAGTCACTTTATTCTTGGTTACATAACGTGCTTGTTGTTGTTACATTTAGTATTTTCTCCTAATTTGCATTGATGACTTAGAAACAAACACACATGATACTTTGGTAGGTACTAGGCAGGTCTCAACTTTGATTCTAATACAGTTAAAAAGTAAAAACAAAAAGCATGTCTGATACTTCAAAATGTGAGTGAACAGTCAATTGTATAGCAGCTGACCACTAGAGACAGTTTTAGTGTAGCTTAATAGTCAGACTGAATTGCCTTTTTGTTTAAATTGTCATATACTATTTGAATTGGTTCGTGATTCAGAGGTCTTGAACCAGCAGTAGCGGGGATGAGAGCAGGGTTTGACTCTATTAGGCCTCTTCTTGTGACTTTAAATGGGCCGTATTTACATTTTGAAAACATCTAGCGTTTTGTCGAACGATTGAAAAGCTGATTAACATGCCACAAATAACAGTTAGGAAGTATTTTACTGACTGAGTATATGACTGCATTGATTGTGTGCGACAGTGTTGGGCTAAAACGTGTGAACTCCATTGCTTATTTCACTAACGCATCTGTCCTGTTCACTAACACCCATCCACCCTCTCACCCCCACGTCACATCTCCCCGTTACCACGTCACGTTTTATCCCCGCTCCTCTGCCCAACCTGCGACCCGGTCTTCCTCAATGTGTTTTGTGTCTCACGTTGAACTGCTCACATCAAGCTCCATCATTGCCACGCCCGGCCTTACCTAACCCTGCCATTGTGCTGCTGTTTCTCTGTCCGCTCTTCTGCTCATAAGCCTGACTGTGACTCACAAAGGGAACAGGGAGAGACTAGCTGGCTGAAGGTACAGTAACACTGCACTGTGGATGCAGCTCGAATCTGCTTGTCATGCTGCTAAATCTAACCCAGACTCAGATGATCAACAGAATCATAACATCAACTTAAAAAGCGTATTCATTTAGCTGCTTTACATTGTTAAAATGAAGAGTTGATTTCCAAAATGCGGTATATTTAGATTGGTTTAATTTCAGGTTCCTGTAGTTCTTATTGATGAAACTATAATAGTAGCTATTGCTTTAAAAAGACTTTCAAAAGATGACTTTCATTTAAGTTAATGTTAACACTTGGAGCATTTCTTAGCTGTGTATAAACATTTAATAAACTTTAATGGTAAACACAATATAATGTAGTTGTAAGAAGGTGTTTATTAATGTGCAATATTTTCCACAACTATATCATCTCATAAAAAGACATGTTAAGCATTATCACAACATTTGTTCTCCTGATATTGTCTTTCAATTTCTGTCTATACAGTAGCCTCCACTTCTGGGTGCCCACAGGAGGAGTTCCTGTTGTTGACAAATGCATTAATAAACACTAACATGTGCTTACATGATAGTTTATTGTGAACCATTAATGAAACATTTATAGATTGCTTATAAATGCTCTATACGGGGGGTGAAACTGTGCAGGGTTAGCAATCATTGCCTAACTGTACATTGGATGTCATCTTTACTCAAATCTCATTTTGGAACAGAACTCTTCAGGTGTCCTTTTTATTTTAGCTAGATACCAGATTACCATGTGGATATCAGATGTAACCCTCAAAGTGTCGTTCAGTGTTATAAAATGAATGAATACTGTATTCTGACAGCATTATTGATTAATACCATTTCATTTGTTCTGACTTGTCACAAAACTGATTCTTCCTCCCCTCGTTTCTTCTTTGATCTTAGTTTTTCTTCACAAAACATCAGCCGATTAGTCACAGCCATCTTTAATGAATAAAAAAAAATACCTTTTGATCAAATTAGTCAATCAGCTGTTTGGTGTTTAGATAAGTCTTGGTGACACTGCACGGACTTGAGATGATATTGAGTTTCATCCATGTGACCCACAGGGACACTGCTGGCCAGGAGAGGTTCAACAGCATCACATCCGCCTACTACAGAGGCGCCAAGGGCATAGTGCTAGTGTATGACATCACAAAGCAGGAGACCTTTGAAGACCTGCCCAAATGGATGAAAATGATCGACAAGGTAAACAAACTGTCAAGACTGCTGGAATTATATGAAATGTGCTTTTACTGTGTTGTCCTCGGGTGTGTTTCTCTGCTACTATTATGTGCCAGAGATGTCAGAAACTTTGTTGCAACACCACACTTTTCTCTTGTATGGATTCTGTCATAGCACTTAAGATTTACATAATAATTGAATCTAATGTTATTGCCATACCTCTCCTGATATTGACCCTTCGGTTCTACCGTTGTCTTTAATTTCACCACCACTGGCAGCAGTTGCATGAGCTAGAGCTGTTTTTCAAGCGGAAACTCTTTCAATCACAGCCTGACTGATATTGGAGTCCAATACAGATGTTTATATTTGAGAGTTTAAAAATATAAATTTTCTTTACATATTCCATAACATAGATAAACATTGTTGTTCGTGTTCCCATTACTTTTCGAACAATTGTGACCAAGAAATGTACTGGAACAACATTTTACAGTTCAAAAATAAACTTGTCACAACTCTGAGGAACGAAGTATAGACTGGTGATACTCAAAACATATCTTTGGCATTTCTGTACTTCGGTGTCTTCTTGTTTATCGGCTGACATAGACACCGATACGATAGATCTGCAATGAGCTGATCTATCTGCCTGGTCGATTTATCGGTCGAGCTCCAAATCAAACTGGCAGAACTTGCGGGAGGCGATGAAACTGCCATTTTTATGTTCACATTAATATGCGATATTCATTGCTGGTCTCACCTTAGCATCATGCAAAAATGAATCAAACAGTTGAGCAATTGATTAATGACGATGTGAAAGGATTTTCAAAGTTATGTTGCCAAATCGCAACTGCATAAAATGTGTAAGAAAAGGTCTAGTTTTTTTTATTTTTAAGTAACAACCTCAAGGGTGTAATTGTTGTGGTTTCCCTCTTTAGCTGCAGAACTGTATAACCAGTTTTCATGGTGAACACTTATCATTGCAGTAATCTGGTTTGACTTTTCTGAAATGTTAGGCTGATGATGTCCTGACGCGTCTCCTCTCTGCTTTCTGTCTCATGTCAGTACGCCTCAGAGGAAGCAGAGCTCCTCCTGGTCGGGAACAAGCTGGACTGTGAGACTGATCGTATCATCTCCAGACAGCAGGGAGAGAGGGTGGGTTCATCGCACGATGCTCCAGCTCACCGTCGCATAACAAAACCTTGTCTTCTGTTTCTAGAGATGCTTTCGATATGCTGCTGAATTATCTTTGAACATGGACTTTGTGTGCTTCAAAGTCACAGTAATAACACTGATGCCTCTCCCCCCCCCCCCCCCCCTCCAGAAACTGACATGTGTAGCATCGCAGCAAGCTTATCCAAAAAAATCCTTTAAACCTGTAGGGGAAACGTTTGTATTAAGTTTCCTGGTGTATTGTGTTGTTAATGGGAATGAGTCCGTTTTTCTCTTGCTGAAATTGAGCTATTTTTTCCTCTTTGTGTTGTAGTTCTGCTCTCGAATAAGTGGAATGCGCTTCTGCGAAGCGAGCGCCAAGGATAACTTCAATGTCGACGAGATCTTCCTGAAGCTTGTGGATGACATCCTGAGCAAGGTTGGTGTGTTGAGAGCAGAGTCTGACCAGATATCTGATAATGAAGAATCAATCTTCAACATAAGCATGGCATGAACAAACATGTTTCATAACGATTCCTTAGATATGTTTATTGTGACCAAGATATGTGCAGAGCGGGACATTTTATTGCTGGAAAAATAAACTTAAAAAGGTAAACGCCAGTGCAATGCAAAAATGTAATGCAGGAATTCGTCAAATATGCGCATCAGTTCTGCGTTACCATGTTCCACTTTCATCATTGATCATCCAGACACTCTTATTTCGTGCCTTAAAGCTTCATTTCTTGTTCTCTATCGGTCTCTTTTCTACAAGTTGAGGCTTTTTCCGTCATTGCACTCGATAAGTCACTGCGGATGCCAACTCAAGCACGCTGCCTACATATTCAATGCATTAACCCTGTGTTTCCTGACTTCTTCTCTGTTCCTCATACAACAGATGCCTCTGGAAGTTCCCAACAATGAGCTTTCCAACAGCATCCTGTCTCTGCAGCCTGAACCGGAAGTGCCTCCGGAGTTGCTGCCTCCCCGCATGCGCTGCTGCTGAGAGTCAGAGTGGTTCCCCATCTCACACACACACACACACACACACATACATACATACATACATACGGCACACACACACACATGCAGAGTACCAGCCTGGCCACCAGGGGGCAGCAAACAGCAGCAGTTTGGAGTTACGAACTGTTGATGTAAGATGCATGGACTCTCAACAACCAGTATTATCCTCCCCTGTTTCTTCTTCTCCTATTTCGTAACTCTTCACAATGACATGAACCGCACTAACACCTAGGCCTGGTGAATCACCCACTTCCTACCACCCCTTTTGTCTACACTTGAGCCCGACTACCTCATTCCTCGGACCGTTAGGCTAGCTGTGCCCCGCACAAGCCTTCAAGGTAGAGAGCCCTCCGGTAGCAGTTGCACATTGTACAAGTAGGCTGATTGTTGAGGGCCTTGCAGCTTCCTGATGAATACTCAACACACATACTGTACACTAAGTTTGACATTGTCTGAGTTGCCCCGATGGTCTGGTGTTTCTGCATCATCTAGCTTACACAGAAAAGGGATAACAATATGTTATATCTCTTCAGCTTAGTTTAAATTCTGGATCTCGGTACAGTACTTTTATATTCTCATTAATAGGTGTTATTACCAAGTGACGAGTTGACTTGAGGTAAACAAAAGCACATGATGTAAATACGGTGTGTTGCTGTAACGACTGGACAAGCTGCAGATGTTTGCGGCCAGCAGTAGGCAGTTGTGTGGTGGTGGATCATATCAGTTTCTATTCCTTTGCCTTAAAGTGTTAAAAGTGGCTGGAACGGCTCATTTCACATTTGTATGAATTTTTATATTTTGCACTACAATCCATCTCACCTAGTGAAGCTGACATGCAGAAAATAGAAAGTACAAGACTTGTCATTTAGTAAAGATCAATGTTGCCTCGCTAGTGGCCGTTCTGTTCTCCCTGTTGAAGTGGGACGGAGATGCAAGGAGAGATGGGTAATGTAGTCTTTGAGGGATCTGTGTTTTTACAGGGGTATTCTCCATGTGTGTTACTGGCTTTTTAGAGGAAGTAGAGACAGCAAGTACTCAGTGGACACACGCATGGTTTTAGCCTTTGTTTGGGGGTTGTTACTAATATTGCAAAGTGTTTAGTTTTCCCTCTGATTTCGGATGCAGAAGAATGTTTCAGGCTCCCATTTGAGGGGAAAAGGGCAGAAAGGTTTGCTTAGTATTTGAAGGACTCAGGAAACTTTGATCGGCTCATATCTGCTCGTTGTGACAGGCGTTTATTGCAGACTTGATTTGAGTTTCACAACAAATTGATGAAGAAATGTCTTCATATAAAGTCCTGCTTGATGGGGTGTTTGTGTTGATAAGAAGAGGTCAGCATTATTTGATTTAAATTTAAATTTGGCAGTTTGTTACAGACCAGTGTTTCCCAGTACTTGTACATTTTCAAAAAACTAGGCCATGCATGTTAAGCCCTCTTGTGTTCATAGATCATAATTTCTTTGTTTTGTTAAATTAATGCAATATTGCAGCACTGTACGTTCTTCTGTTTAGCTTTTACATGTTGAAGTAAAAGTCTGAGGTTGAGGAAGCACGAGTCAATTTAAAGGACCTCATTTAAAATGACCTAAACTGACTTGCCGTTGGTTAATTAGATTTTATGAAAGTAAGTTTTATGTTAAAGTCAATGTTCTGTGGATTTAAGCTGGCACATTATGTAATATTGAATAGTTCCAAACCAAAACAAAAACATTGTGAGACCTTTTGCAAACAAAGCAGTCAATGACATCCAAGCACAACTTGCAATACGATTACCAACAAACAAACACATTTTCTGCAACAATTTTATCCTGTTTTGAAATTTCTAACTTCTTTTGACATTGTTTTGTGGAGTGAAACCTTCATTTGTCGCACTAACCCTTTGGTCTTTGTTTTAATAGCCAAGCCTTCTACTACTCAGTGTTTTCGATATACATTTCAAGAAACGCTTTTATTTGAAATGTGTCTACTTTCAGATGGAAGACTGTGCTTTGTAATAAACCTGTTTTAAGTCTTTGAAAAAAGTTTTGGCATGTTTAAAGCAGATTTGTGGTATTTATAACTTGTGGCATTCTTGAACTAATGAAATGCAATTAAAGATATCTATATTTATTACCAGATTATGGTCTTGATTTTATTCTGTTTCCTAAAGTGGGATGTGTGCCGTATACCAGGCGTCCTTGAGTGGATTCCAGGAACACAGAAATGATAATTTTCTCAGTTTTAATGTTCTCTCACTTCAGAGGTTGAAGTCACTGAAAGATGCTGCAGACATGATGTTTTCACTTCTTATATGATATTTTAGATTGGTGTCTCAGGGATAAAACCATTCATTCAAGGATCTGATTTGGAAGTATTGAGTGTGAGGTACTGCCCCTCCCGAATCAATCTTTGCTCCTCATGTGAAGGTGTTCAATAGCCAATAGAGTGCGTGTCATTAGGGCATGCGCACCAAAGCGTGTCAGACCAGGTCCCGCCTGGTCCCAGAGAAAACAAGGGGTGTGCTCGCTTGGGTGCATGTGAAGCAGCAGCGCATGCGCAGCGCAGAAAATCACGGGCGTCGAGCTTCACACCGCAGCGATTGCAGATCCTACATGTCAGATAGGAAGGAGTGGGAAGGGGTACGAGGACCAGGGCCCCCCCATCACTCACAGCCCGGCTACAACAGAGGGATGGAGACCCGAAGAAGGAGAAGAAGAGGGCTGATGTGACTCCGACTGACTCTTTTTTTGTATTATTTCTAACTTGAGCCTGTCTGCAGATGCAACCTGTCTGTCATCCCGTCCGTCCCAGTAATCCCATCTTGTGTTGCAGCGTTTCCTCCACGGGGGCTAAAGCAGAGGGGACACAATGACAACCTGGTGAATGCAGACCAGATGGAGTAAAACACGTCAAGCGCGGCGCAGGATGCGCATCCCCGGCCCGTCCAGGAAGAAGGTAGAGCAACCTGGCTGTTTTTCTGGTGTCGTGTGTCAGAGATTTTCCGCGGTGCTGTGGATTGATCGTTTCCTTCGTCGCCCTCCTGCTGCCGGTGTCGGTGTATAATGGAGAGCTCCAATGGCTCTGGCAGCGACACCAAACCGCAGAACCACCAGTTGGAGAAGAAGAGACTGAACCGAGCGCCTTCCCCGGCCAGACCTTTCCTCAAGGATGTTCACTCTCGCTCCAGCAAACCACCTGCCATCGTACCAAAATCCCCCAAACTCAACAAGCCTTCCTCGGTGCCATTGGTCCATCCGAACCGCAGCTCCAGACGCCACACAGCCGGTGCTAAAGAGAAGCCCGTCACGACGAAAAGTAACGCCAAGTCTTCTGTCGTGAAAAAGCCCACAAAGGTGCCTCAGCATGCGGCGGTCGAGCCCAGAGTCGCCAGCATCACACCGGACAGCACCAGCAGTCCCATCCTCGCCAAAGGCAAGAAGGGGAAACTAGCCTCGGGGTCTCTGGGCCCTCCCGGCCATGGATCCCCGATCCGGGTACCGACCGGAGCGCTTCACGGCCGGGTCAGCCAGACCGACAGCAGTTCGGACCTGTCGGACTGCCCGTCTGAGCCGCTGTCGGACGAGCAGAAGCTGGCACCGGCTGCTAGTAGCGACGCTGAGTCCGGCACCGGCTCCAGTGACCGGGATCAGGTGGGAGGCGATAATCCGCTGCGGGCAGAAGCGACTGGAGCGGCCGCAGCCGGTGCTCCATTGCGCACAATCGAAAGCATGTCTCAGGCTCAGCCCGCTCCGGGGGCGCACGGAGAGAAACCCAAGCAGGAGAAATCCTCACCAGGCGCACAATTCAGACTGCCAGGCAGCAAGGATATGAGTGAGGAGGACCTGCTGCGGGAGGTGGACGATTTGAGATCTGAAAACGACTACCTCAAGGTATGGCGATGCTATCTGAAAGAGACAAACGTGGCTATTTTTTTGCACATGTTTTTTTTTTTTCTTAAATATAAACACATAATTCAAAATATACGCTTAAAAGACAAAATTTCCTCGCAGGCTCATTTAATCGGTAGTAGGCAGCTGAAAGAAGAGCCAAACTGTCTCTTTACAGGACAGTCCCGTGTTCAATCCTCAACATCACCTGTTCCTTTAAGTGTCCTTGATCAACTTCCACCTGCTCACTAACTGAAATCATAATCTAAATGTATAAATTATTTAAATCTGAACGCATTCCCTTTAATGCTCAGCTGGCATCCCCATGATGTCCCTGTGTCGACTCTCCATCCATCATGTCGTCTTTTTTTTTACCCTACCCGTGCTTCCCTGTGGCTTTGACCTTTATTGATGGGAGTTTTATTGATAGTGGCTTCACCCTGATGTGTCCTCCGACTTTCTTTTTTAAAATGGTGTTGCTGTCAAGTCACCAAAGTCTTATTGTGACAGAAATACTCAACATTCCTCCCCTCATGTTGCATCTGGGGCACCAAGAGTAACATGATCTGTAATAATATAAACAAATTGTACTCAGAGATGCACACGTTTTTAAATCAGTGTTTTGTTTGCCATCTTTAATCGTTGTATCTTACATCTTGCATGAAGATCCTGCTTGAAGACTGCATGCAGGATCCCCCTCCCCCCCTTCTTTAACTAGGCTATCCCCATAAATTGGGGAGGGGAGGCAAACAGATAATGCGGCAAACAATCTTGCAGGTTTTTTTCTCTTTTAGATGAAAAACGGGTTTACTTGCATGTTATTATTTCAAACTTGACCACGCATGTCTGTGTGTCTCTCTCTCTCTCTCTCTTTGGCCTGGTGCAAACACAAGAGAGTTAATCAGCTTTACTGGCTCTGGCTGTAATGGCTTTATCCCACAGGACTTGATAACAGTCAGATGTCCCATGTGTGTGGGGTTCAAACGCCCTCCTGGCTGGTGTCAGTCTGCCAGCTGGGACTCTGAGGTGAACTCTTCCACCTCCCCCGCCTCCCATGCATCCCCCAAATGTCTGGGAGTCCCCTACATCAGTACTGCTCATTGGGGGGGAGTTTAGCCCATTTATTTTGACACCTCTTAGTTTTATTTTAGATTATATTTCAGGTATTTTAGCTTCTTTTAATTGCATGAAGAGAAACAGTTTCAACCTGTATTATTGTGTCCATACAGTAAAACTGCACAACACCAAGAAACTCTTTTTTGGGCTGCAACGAACAGTTTCTTTTAGAGCTGCAATGACTGGTCAATCAATCGAGTAGTCAATTGACATAAAATGAACACAATCAATCAATTCAAGTCATTATTCAAACAAAAATGCAAAACATTCGCTCCAAGCTTTTAAAATATAAAGATGTGCTGCTTTCCTCTATTTAATATCATTATAAATGTAATATCTTTGGGACCTTCGGACTTCTTTCATATGTCACACATCTGTGTGCATTTTTAAGTTTAAAATAAAAGTTTTATAGATGCAACCATTAATGACTGAATAGAGAAATAATTGACTGGTTAATCGATAATGGAAATAATATTAAGTTGCATCCCAAATTTTCATTATCGCTTAATATGCGTAATACCTTTCAATTAGCAAAGTAATTGCAATTTTCAGAAAATTGTAAAAATGTCCCTCACATGTTCCTAGAGACCAAGATGACTTCTTGAAAATGCTTGTGTTTCTGACATATAGTCCTAAACTCAACATATATTTAGTTTTTTATCACATAAAACAAAGAAAAACATCACGACTTCACATTTGAGAAGCAATTAAACGATAAATGGATTATCAAAGTTGTTGCTGCTTGAATTTACTCTGAATCTAGTCTCACCATTTGATTTCTAAAGATTTGAAGCCACAACTTAGTTAATTATTGCTTAGCTGATTGATTGCATACATTTTGATAAGTGATTAATCATTTTAGTAATTTTTTACATTCTCTAACTCCAGCTCCTCAAATGTGAAGATTTGCTGCTTTTCTTTGTCACATTTAATAGCAGATTGATTATATTTCAGTTTTGGACCACTGGTTGGCAAATGCAACTTATATGAAGACGTCGTCTTGGGGAGAAATTGTGATGTTTTTGTTTGCAATTTGTTGGACATTTCCCGGAGTAATACAGAAATATTGATCAATTAATGGCTGCTCAGCTAAGATATCCACACTCGACACTATTAAAAAGATGATTAAGTAGCGGTGATGACTCGGTGCACACGCTCCCCCATAAACATCAATGATATTCTCTGAATATATCTGCTCCCAGGATGCTGCTCTGCCTCTGTTTTTAACCTGGCCATCGATTGGACCGACCCTGTGCGAGGTCATTAGCTCCTTCCTGCAGGGCCCTCCTCGGAAAACAATCGGCACTGTGCTTTTCCAAACGAGGATAGATTTAGTTTTCATTAATTGACACACTCATCCCAACTCCTCCTTCAGCAAACTATTGTCTTTTTTTAAGCAGGTGCCAGTCAAACCCTTTGAATATCCATCCCAGGGGAAATCTTCTGAGCAAACTGATTCCTCAGGATGAAGACAAACAGATTAGGCATGCACCGGTACCGATATCAGATGTCGGGTCCTGACTCTAATAGCTGGATCTGATAGGGGTGACATTGGGGCCGATTTGTTCAATTAAATTCTATCTGTATATACTATATATGTTTTATACTGCCATTTTAATTCCTGTTTAAGTTTTTACCAATATGTTGCTAATGTTGAGTTGTAAGTCCTGTTCATTTTGAAGATTTATTTTTTTTGGTGCACGATTTATTAATTTAATAAAGAATAACAATTCAGACAGTTTACATCTATGCTTTTATACGTTGCATTTTTAAAGTCAAGACTGATGTTGCCAAACACACGAGAGAATGATCCCCATCACTTCCACACAGTGAGGCAGACAGCGTATTAATTAAACAATGGTATCGGATTAGTACTTCTTGTATCGACCGATACCCAAAGCCCAGGTGTCGCTTTTGGTATTGGGACTGAAATAGTCGGATCAGTGCATCCCTATATCAGATACCCTCTGGGTTACCAAAGAAACAATCATAGTACTACAGATACATCTTAACCTCTTTTCCTCCAACAAGGCCGGGTCGTTTCATGTTGAGAGAGTGTGAATTCATCCAATCCGAGAGATAAGATGCTGAGAGCCAACTAGTGGTGTTACATCATCAGCACTAAGAGTACTTGCATTACTGGAACACATATGTAATCATATGAAAGTTTAATCAATGGGAGGTCAAATATATTGCATCTCCTCTGTAATAGCTTTATGCCTGAAATGCATAATAGTTATGTACATCATCTCTCTGCTGTTATTGAAAAGGTGTAAATCAGTGTTTGCGCAAACTGGAAACCACGTTACTTTTTCATTAAGCGGCCAAGAATATTCATTTCCCGTTTACTGCTAAAAGTTCATTTACATGAGAAATTAAGGCTAAAAACTGCCCAAAAAACCTTTTAAAAAGAAGTATTACACTATATCAATATTTTTGATGTATCCATGACCGTTTTTAAGCCTCGGGTGTTGTCACATCAGTTCTTCCGACAGCAAGATGTACTGTAATTGTTTCTTGACCTACACCTTTGTCCATGACATCATAAAACTAATGGATTTCCTAGACGTTGCTCTATATTTGAGGACAAGATGTTTTGTCGTCTAAATGCACCTCAAGTCAAAGCTTTTACAGGGAAATATTAAAATCTAATTTGCAGAATGCAATGAAATATAAAGAGCACATTCATACTCCCCAGAAGCTGAACATTTTGAATACTACAACTGTATATCCTTTTTAAATACACAATAAATACACAAGTATGAGGATGCAAAGACATAGGCCGACATGGAAATGGACAGTAGAGGCTAAAATAACATGATTTTTTATGTGGATGCAAATAGCTGTCTATCCCTTTATGCCTTTTGATGTTGATGATCCCGGGCGGTTTTCTGTAGCTCCACCCTAAGGAAAAACTTCTCTCCTACTTCTGGTTAGATTAAGTGCTTTTTTTTTAAATACAAAAACTATTTCACAAATTCAAAGCTTTTGGAGAGTATTGCTCTTGTGTACCAATTATTGTTGCTGCAGAATTAGACGTTACATCATTCACAATAATAGCCTTTAAAAGTATATCCTGTAAAATAAGTCATTAGCTTTCTTTTACTCACAGAAAACTAAAAAAAAGTACTTGCTACTGTTTGCAAAGCAGAATTCTAACATTAAAACAGCATAAACATCAGAGTCAGCACTATTTGCAGCACAGAATGCCAACTTACATTGGTGTGAAAAAAGAGAGAGAAAAATGAATTGACTGGCACAAATGTGCATTAACGACTATTGCAGCACGGAGGTGATATTAAGGTTTCAGCTTGTGTTGTCTCTCAGGATGAAGTGGACGAGCTGCGGGCGGAGATGGAGGAGGTGCGAGACAGCTACCTGGAGGAGGAGGTCTACCAACTGCAGGAGCTGCGGCGAGATCTGGACCGCTCCAACAAGAACTGCCGCATCCTGCAATACCGCCTGCGAAAAGCCGAGCAGAAGAGCCTGCGGGTCGCACAGACCGGCCACGTGGACGGAGACCTGCTCCGTAGTCTGGAGCAGGACTTAAAGGTATGTTTGTGTCTTTGTGTTAGGGATTGACCAGTCACCACTCTGCTTTTATTCAGTGTTTGTATAAAATGCCATACGATACCATACGGCGTGCATGCATGTGTGATGGCGTTTAGATGATCATTAGTGTTCATGACACATGTGAAATATTTATCAATCTATTTTGTATTTATACATCTATTCTGTTTGAACTGCATGTGTCTGTCCGTCAACATATCTGTCTCTGTGATCTCAGGTGGCCAAAGATGTGTCGGTGCGTTTGCACAACGAGTTGGAGAGCGTGGAGGACAAGCGCAGCAGAGCTGACGATGAGAACGAGCTGCTCAGACAGAAGATCATCGAGGTGGAGATCTCCAAACAGGCGCTGCACAACGAGCTGGAGAGGACCAAAGAGGTGAGTGGAGGATAACGGGAGATGTGGTTTTGATTTGACGAGCCTCTTGCAGGTCGTGTCGAAAAAAAGTTGCTTTCATGCACACAAAGGTGTATTTTTATTTTAGGAGATCCTAATCGTCCGTTGCGCTTGCAGAAACAAAGCAACGGAAATCAGTTCTCTGATACACACAGAAACAAACATCATCTTGAGAATCTGTTTGGGCCTAGTGGTGAATGAACACTGGTGACAATAACAACTGTGATGGCAATGTTTTTGGTGACTATGCTGTTTGAACGGGATGAAGCTCCAGTTCACCAAGAGGTGCTAGTTATTGTGGCCGCTTCACTACCTGCATAAAGCAAGAGGATCAATGCTGATCACCGGCCTGATCAGCATTGTCAGTGCTGTGAATTCATTTCATCAATCACCTAAACGCTCTTTGACAGCGTCAAAACAACTGCTTTGTGCAATGGTGTGTGTTATTTTTAAAGCCTGGCAACAATATGAACATGTTTACAGCTTAATTCTGCAAGAATAGTTGCAGAAGAAAGGTTGGGTTAGATGCATCCACACTCCAGAGTACTACACAAATACTACTGATGTTCAGATGGAGCTACAATACTATTCAGTACAACCCGAAGCTGCAACCACCCTCCCCCCTCGCAGCGGAGGTGTGTTCACATGGTAACCTGCAAAAGAAATCCAAGTCTCTCCCCATGAACGCCCATTTTGGAATGTAGTCCATCAACTCCTTCTCTAGCCAAGAATCTTTTCTCCAGTTCAGCTCTGCAAAAATAAAGAGTTCACAAAATACTTTGTGAATTCAGCCGGTCAATCTGTTGGTCTTATATCATTGCGAGTACACGTCTTAGCAAGGCATGTCTTTTACCCCTTTTCTCCCAAAATAAGCACCATTGGAGCTGCAGCCAAAAATTTCCCGTGAAGTCATTTGTTCAGGGAATGGATGCAGGTTGTAACCTTTGCCAGTAAGACAAAAGCCAAATATTTGTGGGTGATAAAAGTGCACTGCGAAATGTATTTTTGTTATTTTCAGAATAACTTGGGCTACTCAGAAATCAATTGGCCATTATTTGGCATCTCAGTCGTTCAATACATGATCCAGAACACGTTTTATGAATAAAGATGCATTTTGTTGTTTGGGGCTGTAACTCCAGAGGTTTTCAACACACAGAAATTGATTTAATGGATAGATGAGATTGTCAGTGTTTCAGGAATGTAAGAGCCATTTTGAAAGGACATTGAGTATAAAAAATGTATAACGTATAGTATACACAAAGAAAAATGTCAATTTTGGTGGATCTTTTGACTTTTATTGTTCTTGTTTTCCAATGAGATTAATGTGTTTTGGGACTACAGCTTCCGTCCTGCTTTGAATGATCTTAACAGGTGTAATATTATCATGTGTTTACACTTTGGTGTATCTGCACCATAGAAAGTCATCATTCTTCTGCTACTAGCAGTTGCACTCAAACTATGGATATATAATTCATATTGTTGTTAACATGTTAGAACATATCAGATTAATTCAGTTGGCATTAGAATCTTCCGTTTTATGGTGTGAGCTACTGATGGTGTGAGCCCCTATTTTACAATGTAGAATTGAGACTTTTGCATCACTATTACTCTCCTGTTGCACAGTGGAGGGAATATTTGAAGTGAGGTCTTCTTTCAGGTAATGACATGAGCGGAGGCTTTTCTCAGGGCTGCCAGGGTTCAGCTGCTTAGACTAATCGATTTTGACATCAGCAGGTACACATGACGTGTGGCAGCAAAGAGAAAGTAGGCTAATACCAGACCAGTGAGCATGGAGACGTGGCTTTCTTCTGCCGACTGGGGACACTGTTTCTTTTTTAGTGTCGTCTTGTTTGCTGCTGGTTTGATTCCCAGCTTGTGTCACACCAGACTTCTGTTACGTGCCTCCCCAAATAGGTCTTCTGCTGGTGGAAAAATTTGTATTCTGAAGCGGTCTGTGACCTTAACTATCTGTGTTTGCAACATTGATGTTTTTTAAAGACAACTTAACAGCCCCCCGACTGAGCTACATGTGCTTGGGCGAAGACAGAAAATCCATTTCTGGTCCAGATGTGCTAATGCGGCAAATGCAAGGTCCAGTTTTTGTTGTCGTCGCTCGACACCGGTAACCTTTCATAAGATAATGATTAGCGAACAGTAAGGCTGAAGTGAGAGAATGCCCGACATGCGATTGTAAATGTTAATGTAAATTTGAACTTGCATAGCGATTGCATTATTGGTGGTGTCTCTATTCTCCAGATCCCTTATTCTGAGCAGTATTACGATACAAAGGGACCACAGGATGACGCAGACTTTCTTGTACACAGAGAAACAGGCGAGGGAGTCGGAGAAGGCTGAGATAGCGGCTGTTCCAAATGATTGCAGATTCTTTTGTGTCCCCCTGAGGTTTGTCCCAGAAAAACACAAGCCGTCTCTGAATGTGCACTTCAACATCACATCACGCTGTGCTCCCCCCCCCTTTCCTTACCAGAACTCTGCACCCCAATATTTTGATTTTGTTCCATGGAAATACACAGTTTCTCTGTCTGGGACTGTTCCTGTAGTTTAATCACTCATTCAATCCCTGTGAAATCCATAACGCACAGCGGGTGACCTGCTAATTATTTTTATTGTTGGCAGCAGGGGATGACGAGAGTATTTACAAACATTTAGTTAGGGATGCATTTCAATGAATGAATCTAAGAATGTGCCCTCTTCTCTTGGAGCTGCTTAGTCACAGAGATAAAGAGAGGAGCTCATTCTACTGATAATAATCTAGTGGTTCAACAGGACTGAAAGGTTGTTTCTTTCCCTTTCCTCTTTAATTAGGTTTTGTAAATTGCGACACAGGTGTAATGTAATGCAGTCAAAAGCAGAAAAGCCTCCAAACTCCTTTTGGGTTTTTACTAGTTTTAGGAATTCCATCTGAGGCACCTGCATCTTCTTCCATTTAGTTTTTTTAAATGATCTTTCACCACTAAAGTTCAGTGGTAACACACTGTAGGATTACAAAAAGCTTCTTCAGTTACTTTACCTGTCAAACCTTCTCACCACAGCAGTAAAAGAGCAACTGACCCCAGATACTTCAGCCCTTTTTCCTGCTATCAGAGGCCACACAGTGTGACTCTGGCCCAGAGATTGGCACCCCTGCATGGATTAATCCAACACGAAGGCCTGTTATGAAACAGCCTGGCGTGTTTCAGTACACTCTGATGGGAGGGGAGAGCGAGCGAGAAAAAGACAAAGAGGCAGAGTGGCAGAGAATGGCTGTAATCAGATGGCTGTGGGCCCTGTCTGCCTGCGATACGACCACAGACCTGATATTAAACAGTTTGGGAGGGCTGGTTGACAGGACCCTCTGTTGTTACAATATCGGCCCGGGGAGCAAATTGTTGCTGCTGCATCTGTGTGGTCAGCATGAAGGTGAACAACGGTTGGTGGAGAGATGTTTCATTCCTCTGACATTTGAAGAAAGGCACACTGATACGTGTAATGAAATGGAACTAATGAAATATCAACGTGCGCAACACAAGCATCAGGTGATTTATTAGGCGCTCTCTGTCCACTGTGATAAGTTCATCTTGCGTTGCAGCAAAATGATAATCCTTTGTGCTGTGCTTGTTGACATCGGATCACATGACGACAGCACACAATAAAAAGCCGAAATCAACATATCTTATAACACATTTCGGCGGCACCCCTCCCGCAATGGAGGTGTGAGGGTTATTGTGCCGAGTAAGATTATGCTCCTCTTTGAAATACTTTGCTGGCAATCAATTAAGAAATATGTACCTCGAGTGATATTTAGCCATGCACACAGCTTTCATAGAGATGATTTATTTTTCAAGAAGTTTCAATGAAAACTGCAAAGTCTTATTTGAAACAGGATTATTCAGTGACCATGACTTTGATTCTGGAAACCCACATTATTATAGAACTTCTAATTGATATCATTGTGATATCTGTACAATAAATAAGTCACAACTAGCAGCTAGTTAGCCTAGCTTAGCATAAGGACTGGAAACAGGGGTAAATGTGTTAAGATTTGCCTACCAGCACCACGAGTGGAAAATAGCCATCTTCTAGTCTAAACATCTGAAACATCAACTAGCACTGTTGTGTGTATCAGAGTATTGGCAGCATTTGCATTTTTTGCACATATAAAAACAGAATGGCAAGTATCTCCTAGAGTTGCTCCAAGTCTTTTGTTGCTGTGTTTCCTTACTACAAAGGCACGAGAGGGGAATGCCTGCATTCTCCATTATTCGTGTCGACAATGTCTGAGTGAGAGTCACTGCAGACATGATGTGTTTCATGTCAGAGCACTTCTCTCTCAGCAGAAGAAGTGTTGGCTTTGAAGAGGATTCTGCTCTTCAAACTTCTCCTTCATATATCTTCCCCTACACTTCTCCTCCGCTGTGGTTCCCTGTTGGAAGATTGCGAAGGAATCTCATTGACCTAGTTAATATGTTGGGAGGAAGAGCAGAGTCGTGAGGAGAGGAGTAGCGTAGGGACTCTGCTGTAAGTCTGCTGCAGTGACACGCGTCCATATGAAGCGTATCGTCACACAGCTTACGGGGCTGTGAAATCTCTGTTTGACAGGATGGAGGTGTTACTGGTACTCAGAGACCTCACAACCTTCATATACAGTGGGTGATCTGTATGTTTTTGCTCAAAATAAAAGTTTAAAAGATCAGACGGGGAAAAAAATATATAATAATGATTGATTCCTGAAAACAATTTTAACCTGGTGACAGTAATGTGTATGTTTATCTAATGTTAAAGAACATTGGAAATAGGCTAATCCTGTACAATGTGTTGCAAAGCATTTTAGAAACGATGACACCGTCTCTTGGACACTTCTCCAGTGTATCAAATGGTATTAGTAGTTATATTTCGGGAGCTTGACAGCAGCTCGGTAGAATGTATGTCAGACTGAGTCATTGTGTTTCTCACCTCTCCTCCGAACACAAGGAACAGACAGA